AACTACTTTGCTCTTTCCATCCCAGAGTGAATCATTTGATTAGTGTGAGGTTTATTGACCTTTGCCATCTTTTTACTTTTTTGAAAAATAAAAATAAAAGGAACAAGAGGTCAAAGGTGATGAAATCAGACATATGGGGGACTGGATGGGATGTGTATGTGAGTGTGTGTATGGCTATGGGTGTATGAATGCCAATCTGAAACATATGTGTGGACAACCTGCTGATTTTATATCTTTTTGTTCCTTTTTTTCCTGTTTTCTTAAACCGTTTTGTCTGTTTGGCTGTCTGGCTTCAATTCATTTTATTTCAGGTTCGATGCTGGTGTCGAAGTGGAGATTATTGTAATATAGACTTAGCTGATCGAATAGAAGATGGGGATTACGATCTGAAAGCCAAATCTGAGCATGAGGTACGCAAGGTATATGAGTCATTTCCCCTTAATGACTCTTTATGGGAAAGCACATTACTCTACTGTTTTTCATCTGCCCGTTTATGGTCATCTTATCTGATTACATTATGATTTCACGTTCAAATTCATTTTTTTTCATTTTTTTCTGTTTTCAACTTCTCCGTTTGCATTTCGTCTCAATGGAATCAAAGTTTTGACACTTCCTTATCGAGTTTCTTGCAATGGTTTCAAAGTGTTTGCAATTGCAAAGAATGACTGATGAATTGACCGATGGATAGACTGCATATCTCCAATTCTGTTTAATCTTTGCCGTCGCTATTCAACGTCATTTCTAAACTTTTTACCTTCTCTTTTTGTTACTTTTTTTTCTCTTCAATTCCTTTTTCGGCCATATGGCCTTCTTCCCATTCACTTCTTCATCTTCTTCGTCTTCTTCTTCTTGCCCTTCTGCCTTATGAACGTACAGCCAGCTGGATGTGGTACACATCTCGCAACTTATCTCTTCTCTTCCACACTTCCTGTTCTTGATCATAAAGTGTCTCGAAAAAAAAACGGGGAAACTGTTTATAATCAAGAGAGTTCTAATTCTTTATTCTTTCCAGATTGATACAACTACCCTGAGGACAACAACAAAGGATGATTTCGTAATTGAGCAAACGTATGACTTCATTGAAGATGAAAGGTACGTCTCTAGTCAGTCTTCATAAACGCAACTCTTTCTTAACTTGTGTGAACGAGATGCACTGTTTGAGTTACATATCATGTACTTGGCTTCTTATTGTGCTATACGGACAGCTTTTTTAGCTTCTTTTCTTTGCCATCACGAAAATATTCGTCTTCGTCCGTTCGTTTACTCACCTTTCGCAAAAAAAACTTTGTCTTTCATCAGCTTGTACGAACTTTCGAGGTAGAGTATGAGAGTTCTCTCCCTCTCTCCCTCTCTCCTTCTCTCTCTTCTCATTTTTGAACAATTCGTCAAAAGTTATTTGATTTAAGTATTTAGTTGGAATATCCCATGCAGTAAAAGACAAAACGTAATTCCGTTTGTGGGCGATTGTCTCTTCGACTTCGAAAGTTGACCATTCCAATTAACTAGAAGTCAGCTTATCATCATCTGCTTGCGAGTGTTCCGTCTCTATCCTTCCTTCCTCTTCTCTACATCTACCTCATCTAACCTCTCACTGTCTTTGTACAATATGAGACAGAAGATGAAAGAATTTCTCACACACGTACATACAGACAGTCATTATATTGGAGTGAAAGTCGTCGAAGATAGTCTTCTTTATCTTTTCGGCGCGTTCGGCTCATCATAAGCTTCTTCTGTCTCCTCTGTCTGTTCAACTTTCCATTATTTAAGCAAGAGAATGATTGTGATTATATAGAAGAATGGAGGGGCGAAAGGTTTTCACGTTGGAAAAAGGAACAAGTAAAACAGATTATTTGAATTTGAAACGAGCACAATGGATTTGCATGAGCTGCATCTCTCATGCCGAAAGCTTTCATGTCATCTATAACCAATCGGCTACAATAACAAACAGGTCATTTGGCCATTTTTATGTTATCAAAAGTCTTTGATCGGAATATTGTCTGCGACAAGCCATAAACGTCTCGACAATGCCAGCAAACAATCTGTTTGTTGGAAATTAATGTTCTCTCAACGAATAGATTTGTTTGTCAACATCTACATCTACATACATATATGGTTATAAATCTTTGGAAGAGAGAAAGGGGGTTATGCATTGAAAGATCTTTCCAAATGAGAAATCGTTTCAATTTAATCAAACACAAGGGCTTGTTATCTTATGCAATGGTTACACAGACATCTCCTTACTCCCCTCTCTCTCTCTCTTTACTCTTTCTCTCTCTCTCTACTCTCTCCTTACCTTTCCCCATTCGGCGTTCATAGAATCCTAAAACTGTTTTTCAACATATGTTATGCTAATTAATCATTTAGCTAATGCAGTTCACACAGAACGGTTGCTTTTTTCGTTATACAGCGTTTATGCATATAAGGAATTGAAGGAGGTTCAGATTACACAAGGAAACTCACCTCGTTTACCGAGTTCCTAATGTAATACAATGCGTTGAATGCCTAAAATGCTCATGAGAAGCTAATGACCAGATGAGATAGCATTGGATGGTTATGAGAGAGAAAGCTTTCACTCACTCTCTCTCTGAAACTTTAGATGAAAATGTGTGTTGGAAAGTTTCATTTGCGATGCTCTAAGCTGTCTTCGAGTGATTTATATATCTGTTGAGCTTAAAATAGTAAAAATGGAATATTTGTAACCAAAGAAATGAGGGAAATAGTGTCAGTGGCAAAATGAATGCGTGTTAACCAAAGCGTGTTTGTCTTGTAACTTGAGCTGTTCTCCTCCTATGTCTGTATGCTCCATCTCATCTACCTCACTCTCTCTCTCTCTCTCTCATTCGATCTATCTCTTTACTATATTACTTTTTGATTTTGAATAGTATACTTTGTAAGTAAATGTAATAACAAACATTTAATTCATTACAAATGCAAAAGGGAACGATAAAGAGAGAGATAGAGAGGGAGGAAAGAGAGAAAGGTAGAGATAGAGAGAAACAATGAAAGATTCAGGGAAGCTCCTATCTGACATCAGTGGCTTCTCTTTCTATTTTGGGAATATTATTTTCTGACACGTCAATATGATTCATTTTCTGAAAAGCTTTATGTTTTTCATTTTCTTCTATCTAACATAGATTGTTCTGAAATGCCGCAACAATGCGTCAAAGAATGCAGAAGAAGGGTGTTGAAGGAGAGTGAAGAAAGGGTAGTGGGGGGAACTCCCAATGGTATGATCAGCTAGGAGCATAGTATGTTCAAATTATATTATAATTTTTGAAGGGAAATAGAAAATAAGAAAACCGGAATGCTGTACAAACAGAATGATTACATAGATCTTCCTTGCTTGCTCAAATCAGACTCATTTCTATTTATTTTTACTTTTATGTTTAATTTGAATTATCTTTCAATTACATTCATACTCATTGTTTTTCTTGTTTCAGCGAAAAAGGAACGGCTCTCGAAAATGATTGGGAGAAACAGCCGTTATCAGTACCAAACAAGGAGAGATTGCCTCCTGTAGATCCTTGGCCTGTTACACAAAGGTAAGATTTCCTTCTTCTATTCAATTATCATCATTCTGATTTGTTTAGAAGACAACACGAGAAAGATACAGTAACGGTACCACCATGGAGAAGAGAAGTTCCCTTACCTGTTCAGACACATAACCGACAGCAAATGGATACATGGAATCCAAGAGGTTTCATTTATAACACTAGTAAACTATGTGTTCGTTTTCAGTTCCTTTACCGCCATCTAGTGATCACCATTCTGAGCATAAACATCACCAGAGACATCATTCTGTACACTCACATCATTCTCCACCAACTGAACATAAGCATCATGAGCGAAATCATTCTGTATACTCGCATCACTCTCCACCAACTGAACATAAGCATCATGAGAGACATCATTCTCAATACTCACATCACTCTCCACCATCTGATCAACTAGCACATGCAGGTCACAGGACTAGGCATCATCCACCTCAACCCCAATTACCTCAAAGACCAACTCTACCACCTCCTGAAAGATACTGGACATCCAGTTCTACAACAACTACAACTTCAACAACAACGACGACTCCAACAACAACTACTACTACGTTAAAGCCTTTAACAACTCGTGGATTACCGTCTTTCCGCTTCCATCAAATAGATGATCGACGTCCTTTCTCCATGAATTCGTCATTGAGGAAATCAGGTTATCGTCTTAATTAAGTCTTCCCTCATATTTAATTTTTAGAGAGTTCGTCATCTTCATCATCGACTACAACAACAACAACAACAACAACAACAACAACAACAACATCAACTCCATCCACCACGACGACAACAACACAATCAGCCAGAGACGTGGCTATCAAGTCATACAAAGAGAATCAACAGAGGTTCAAACCTATCGATGTTCTAGCATATCGATCATACAACAAAATGGTTCGTTCAATCTTATGTGATTCAAGCTCATCTCAATTTCAGAAGGAAAGTCATAGACCTTCTTCAACGACCACAACATCAACCACAACTACTACTTCAACGACAACTCCCTCAACTACGACGACAAGTCTCAATGTAGTAGATGATGATTATGAATATGTGGAGAAGGAAGAAGTTACAACGCGTCCTACCACAACTACATCACAACCAACACGACCTCCAAGAAGAAAGCTTAGTAAAGCAAAGCAACAACTGTATGAGTCGTTTGCCAAGAAGCCATCTGTGTCATCATCATACAGTTGGCTAACATCATTAATTGTAATTTTAATTTCATTTCTAGTTTCAAATTAGAGTTGTGAAAGAGTTGATTCAAGTGTTATATCTTGAATGCATGTGCATATCTTCGAGATTTTCTATATTGTTGTATTTGCTCTTCATTCGTACGGGTTTTCGAATGAGATTCTTTTCCTTTTCATTTTGTCCGAAATAGCTTTTATCGCAATGTTTTAATTAAATAATAATAATTATTCATATCTTATGTACATGCTCTATCTCCACCTTCACATATCAATGATACTGATTCGCATATGAATATGATCTTCCTACATTGGTGGTACGAGGTGGACACGGACAGTAGCCTGCATCTGACCCTGGAGCTCCAGGTGGTCCTTCCTGCAACAATACTTTTCCTATTCGCATCATGAATAGCTATACCATTCCAGCTAATCCTGGCTCACCATCTTCTCCTGGTTTTCCTGGCACTCCAGGTTCTCCTGTAGGCCCTGGATCTCCTGGATCACCTGGTACACCAGGCTTTCCTGGATTACCAGGTTTTCCCGGAGGGCCAGGTGGACCACTTTGGGCAGCGTCAAATAACAATCTTGTAAACATTCATTTAGATTGAATCAAAAAGAGGTTACGATACCTCATTCCATCTCTACCAGGTCTTCCTTTTGGTCCGGGTTGCCCCGGTTTCCCATCAGTACCTTGCAATCCAGGTGCTCCTGGCTCTCCTGGAGGACTATTCTCTCCATTTTTACCTTTCGCTCCCGGAATCCCAGCAGGACCTATAGGGCCTAACGGACCGGGGCGTCCTGGAGGACCTTTGGGTCCTGGAGGGCACTTTATACATGGTGTATGATTGTAAGCATCTGAACAGATTGAAACAACACACTTATAACTGAGGATTACCGAGCATCGTTGACGGTAAGCCGTCATGACCAGGTACTCCGGGAACGCCGTCAAACCCTGGTATTCCGTCATTACCGTCCTCACCATTCCGACCAGGTTGTCCAGGTGGACATAATGTAGACAGAACGCAGGTAAATTCGGGAGATCTCTGTATAGCTGCTCTAGTATTCGATGCAATTGTATTTCAGTTATACACTTGATTTACCTTTTTTCCAACCGTTTCACACTTTCCAACTGTTCGATATGTGACTTCAAGACAGTGTAGTGATGCTGGAATCAGAGTGTTCATTATGGATGACAGAGATAACAACCTTATATGAGCTCAATAGCAGTTCAGCTTGCTGTAGCTCATAGAGATTTCTCAACCAGATGTTATACAAGCATATGATGTTGAGGATGACAATGAGAAAGCCGATTATAAGAAAACAAACAGTTATAGTTTTAGTATTTGACATCAAGGAAGATTCATCCAAATGGATTTTCCTTTTCTCTTTCCTCGTCGCAATGAGGTCATCCAACTGTTGTTATCATTTCTCCCACGCTTCGTGAACGTATGAGTTATCCATTGAAGAGTAAACACTACACTGAACCTCCGTTCTTCAAAAAAGTTCAGAAAAAATATTGAGTGGTAGATATCTCCATCCTTACTTCATCAGCTTAACGCATTATTCTAGAAGACGAGGGCACATGACATATTTTCCAGATCTTTCTAAAAAATCTAGAATGCTCATCATCTTCGGTCGGTTGGGTAACCATCGCTCATCCAATTCGCTTCAATCCGTCTTCTATATCCTGACTATGATTTGATCTGGGGAGTCCAGCAACGAAAGGCACTGTTAGTACTTGGATCAGAGACCATTTGCAAATCATGGAGATCCAATACGTTTGCTATCTACTTCTGTTTTGGTGATATAGTCTATTTCTGTTCGTCAATTTCAATTCTGAAGGCTGTGGCACTGAAGTTCAGATATGGAAACAGAGAATTCCACTACCTTTACACTTATCAAATGCTTTCAACTTTCAAATGGTTTGATGAGATTCAGAAGAGTCTGTGTGAGCTGGTGATGTGTGTAAGTTGAAGGAAAACATTATTTTGAAAGATTTTAAGACATTTATTAATATAAAGAGAGAAAATGAAGTTCAATGTACCCGTCATTGTCAATTGTGTTCTCGTAAATCAATAGAAAGAATTCCTGTCTGTTTCTCAGAACTCTGGGGAACTTCACCAGAGTAGACGATGAGATCGTCAACTGTTATCTGAAAGCATGACTGTACAAGGGTAATAGAGTGAAAGCAGATACCGAGAGATGTCGAACTCCACGAGCTGGAGTCTTACGATAGTTGTATATGATCATCTTAGACACATACATCGGGGCGTCGAAAATGAAAAAGACCCGTGCACACCGATTTGGCAGAAGAGGTGTCAGCCACATGTTGCAAGGACTGAAATACAAAAACTTCATCATAGATGTATTACTCTTCAAACTGACTTCTCTGTATCATTGTCCCCATTTATCAAGTTATCACTTGTACGGGGGTCTTTCTCAACCGACGGCAAGATATTAACAGATTCTGGGAAAGCTGCCATGTCTAAATTAGGAAATGAATGGAGTTTGATACTGGATAAGGATATTACTATGTGTCTTAAGACGTATTCGTTCACCCTTCGTGTTGAACAATTCAATTCCATTCAAGCCGATGTAGAATTCATCACCCCATGTTGATAACAAGCGAACTTGGAAAATGACTGGAAGTATGTTTTTAGAGTGATCAAAACAAATTCTGAATATCTACATCCACTGATGCTGTAGGTGGCTGGTCGTATAGGAGAAGGCACAAACAACTGATTTGGATCAAGCAGAACATCTTGCACGAAATCGAAATAAACAAAACCTGAAAGTGGTTTGTAGACGGGTGTTAAATGGAAAGAAGAATCACCTGGTGCTTTGCGAAGAAGCACATTCGATGAGGTAAGCTTTCCATTAGTATATACATTCATTGCTCGAACCCCAGCATATGATAACTCAGATGATGCATTGTAGTTCCATACGGAGACACCTTCAATAGAGAACAGATTGAAATGAATGTGCTCAATGAACAACCTCGAATTTCAACATAATCCGTGAACCTCACTATGATTGTCGGAATCACTTTCTGGACGTTGTCACATGGCAGTAACCACATGTCACTTGGTGATCTAGTTAGGTTTCTTCCATTCAAGAGCCTGAGTAACGAATGAGAAGTGAAAATGAAGTTAGAAACATACACTCCAACATCAGTTCCAGTAGATTCGCTGATACAGATCTCATCGAATTTTATAGTTTTCCCCTTCGGACCAATGATTTCAATTCCGGTCAATCCAACGAAATCCGGATGACCCCAGTTAGCCAAGATTTCAAGGTGAAGAACTAGAAGCATCGTTTGAGCGAAGCTGTTAATTGAAAGTAGCTCACCTTTCACTTTCATGACTGGTTGTTCAAAAACACGATGCTTGACCACAGGTTTGTCATTCAAACTCAAATTCGTTATTGGCGTTATCTCGGCGGTGCTCGGCCTGTATGGAGTTAGCTGAACAGTAGTATCCGGATCTGTATCTGCAAAACAATATTATATAAAATATAGTAAACAATAGAACAAGACTGTATAAGCAACTCGAGTCATAATAAATTTCATTAGAAGAGAGTAACTTGCATGACAGCCTATCGGATTCATACACGATATCCCCATCGGAGAGCGCTCAACACCATGAAAAGCTGAAGGTCTCACCTATGCCACTCAATTCTTTCTCTGCATTGATATCGAACGGAGTGGTTAATAAGCAAACATCGTTCTCTGCTATTCGTTCCAAGATAGCTTCATCTGTTGTGAAGAGAACAGTCTAAGATGAAAATGGTAATGATCAAATTGAAGTTTGAAGCTTACATCACCCATAGGTTCGATTTCCTCGTTATTCTTGTATGAGGGATTCATTTCTCCTCTAAATATCAAAACATCATCAAGACGAATCTCTAGATGATGAACACCAATCTGAGCTCTAACTCTTGACTCGCTATAGTTCTGAAAGTAAACAGATCTATAGAATGGCAGAACAACAATATCTTCTTGCCCAAATTCTTATCATAGCTATTTGAGTGGCATCACGTAGTAAGAAAGTTACAATGACAGGATCGTTTCCATTCAGTTCTGCTTTCCATAAGTTATGTCGATCGGTGAAAAAATAATTTTCTACAACTAAGCTATTGGGATCGCCGACAAAGTTCTGTGACGGACTTGATACCTAAGTTGAGAGTTGATTAGAGGTTGAAGCATGAAATGCAATGTCTACCTCGACGATTTCTGCTCGTTTACCAGTGAAGCTGAAAACTTCAATTCCGTTCAACCCAATATGGGTATTATCTCCCCAATTACTTAGTAATCGTAATTCCATTCGACTACCTGATGGCAACTCTGGTATTTCACTGAAAACAAAGTACTTTACTTGCAACACTTTACGGTTGTGTATGATGTTCAAGCTATCATGTGATGCCTTTCTACATGTCACACATTCGATGGTCGCACAAGATTTGAGCGCCCACTTTGAGCTTAACGATAAAGCCGTTCAGATACGTGTGGTATGTGAGCTTTTCGAAGAGCTTCTATACTTTCATCAATTGAAACAAGTTTATTTAGGATGTGAAATGGAAAATATAATCAAAAGGACAAAAGCAGAGATGTGTATGATAGGTATGAGAGGAGATGAACTCACAATGGAATATCAGCCATATCTTCATCTTGTCGAATAGCATTATCTTGAATGGTTTCGTTCATTGTTATAATCAGTCGGTTGAAAGGAGCAATCTGTAGTTATATGAGTTATGAAAGGAAATGGATGGTTGAGAGGTGGGGACCGAAGTGAAAGCTTCGAATGTGAAGTCAGCGAATGAACAGAAAAGTAAAAAAAGAAAAAAAAACGGATTATGAAGTGGAGTAACAGGAATATTCAGCAAATGAAGTAATGTCATGGGAATAGAAGCCTTTAATTGAGGAATGAGAAGTGTGATAAATACGGAGGGCAAAATCGAATTGAGATTGAATTAGACATGAAATTCAATTTGAATTTTGCTTAGTAGATCATTCATCACTTTTAAAAGTTTTTCAATTCCAATGACAGTCTCATTTCATCTGATACGTGATATTGAGGTTCGTGTAGTGAGCCAGTGTGTATGTGTGTGTGTGTTTGTGTCTAGGTGCGAGACAGGGAAAAATTATGTAGTACAGCCTGCTCAGAATAGCAGCAGAATTACAGCCGAGAAAGCTTGCACGAGAACTCATATACATACATCAACAGCATGCAGGTTTGTATGAAAAAAAATATTAAATGAGAGAAATTGAGCAGCGGGACAATTAAAAAGCAAGAAATGACGAAACACTACAGGCTAGGAGAGTGAAAGCTGGCAAGAAGAGGAGAGATGGAGAGATGGCGCATAGACCTCGTAGCCATGACAACATTCAAGGCAAAAGATTGAAAATGGAGGAACAAAGTCATAAAACAATTCAACTGACGGCAGAAGTGCGAGAAATCTCCAATATAATGTTGGCACATGACCATAATTGGAAAGTTTGAGATTAGCTTACCTTAATCATTCATTGGATGGCTTCCTCTAGCTCTCAGAAAAATATGATTGAGAGTTATGTGTATAATATCCGCAGCGATATATATATATATATGTGTGTGTGTGTATATGTAAAACTTGGAACAGCTGGAATGAGAGGGAGAGAGAGAGAGAGAGAGAAAAAAAAAGTAAAAAAGCAACTGAAGGATACGAACAAAGAACCTGCCATGCAAATGACAACCACTGACTTCCGGATACTACACAGCCATATTCGCTGTGGTGGTGGTCATTTTGGAACATGCTTGATTGGGCTGGAATTCTTGCATTGCAGCAAAGCAGAGAGCAAAGAAAACGAAAAGTAATATAATAATAAACACAATAACTATTCATCTTAAAAATAAAAATAAAGTCGCCGAGGCTATTGTGAGACGAAAATACGTAATTACAATAATAATTAAGAAAGAAAGAGAGAGAACTTAATAAAAATCAAAAGAGAAGACAAGATGTAAATAAAGCTGAACATACGTCTCTAATGAGCTTTGCTGAGAAGCTTTCAACCAAAAACAATGGCCGTCTCATAATATCACATCGTACTCATAGAATGTTTCTTTCCTATCCGTACAAGCTGGTAGACAGCCACACCTTATCCAACAGCTTGTACTATTGCAACCGCTCTCAATCAACAACAGTTTGAAATGAAAACTAAACGACTCTTTTGCAACCACTCGAGGCAATTTGAAAACTTAAAATGAAAAATAGGAAATCTCAAGGAATCGCAGAACGCCGAGAATTGAAAACGTCTTTATTCCCTCAACTGGGTTATTAGAGATCATACATCAAACAAACGAAACAATAAGTTAAAACAACACATTTGATATGTCCATTTGTTTTCTTACTCAATGAATTACATGACTAAAACATATTCGAATGTTTTCTTGGATCTACAGCTGATCTCGCATCTCCTCTCTCCAATCCATTAGATATGGCATAAGGCAATCCAGCTCTTGTTCCTCCAATGTTTCCTAAAAACAGATTTTTTTGCGAAAATATGAGATGAAACGTACCATAACACGGGGGTGACTTAAAATTTCCAGTTTATCTATAAACAAATCTCGAAGATCTCCTTCGGGGTAGTCGACTTCGCCTATTATCCCAACGCCACTAATACCGTAGTCATCGGAATCTTCGCTATCCGATGCTACCGGGGTAGAAGTAGCATTTGGTGTCAATGTGCTTTGCTTACTCAAACTTCGCTGCAAGCTCTGTGAGAGAGATAAAACATGACCCAATGGGGATTAAACTTACAGAACAATTACGTTCATCGTCGAAAACTTCCGTTAGAGAATTATCGGCGGTTATAATCTTTACATCGGGCTTATCAGAAAACGTCAAAGGCGGTAAACTCTTCATGCAACTCTGCATAGGTTCAGGAATGCTTTCCTCAGCAGCACCTAGACCAAACTTGCCCTTCAGCTCATCAAGAGTGCCATCGTCTTTTTCCTGAAATATGTTTGATTGGGAAAAGATCGGTGACAGCTTACAATTTGGATAGGTTGATTATCACAAAGAAACAAAGCGTTAACCTCCTCGCATTTTATGCGTGTAACCCAGAAACTGGAAAAGAAAAGCTCTGTAATGAGAAGTGAATGTTACTTAAATACCTCAGTTTACAATTCATGTTAGAGAATCCTCCTCGTACAATAAGTTCTAACCTTTCCATAGGAATTAAGACCTAACAAACTAGGATGAACAGTCAACGAAGGAAAGACTCACCCAAACAGTGAACGAAGATTGCATATGATAGCAAATCCTATCATTGTAGGTAACCGTTGGTATATCATCGTCAGTCTTCAACGTAACTGTCTGGTATGTCTAAGAATACGAGATTCAAATTCAATTCGACTTTCAAGGAGTACCTCGAAGATTCCATTGAAAAATCTTTGTTGCCACGGTGTTTCCATCGAAACAGACTGAATATCAAATGGTTCAGGTGGTGATATGGCGATATGAGAAAAAATAGGAGGATGTTCAATATCTCTGCCACGAGGCCTTCTTGGTTGGACCATAGAAATCTTCATCCATACACCAATTTTCGCTGCGAGCCCAGCTCTATCGAACGGCGAACCTCTGAACGAGAACGAAGGTTGGCACATTACGAATAATTAATTTACCTGATCAAACAGCTTTTGACTAGAATTGTTTTGAAGTTACTGTCAGGAGAGTAGAGTAATACGTAAGAAGCATATTCTTTCACCACCAAACCAACAGCGAATCTTTGATCATCAGTCTAGAATTATGATAAATTTGGAGAGGGTGTAGACTACATACAATTCCTATAGGCTCTTCTTTCTCTAGTTCACGATCATCCATTATTTCTTCTCCTATTAATGGAATGTACGGTGGGGGAGTTATTGGACTGTTAGCAGCCGGTAAAGACTGAAGTTCTTCTTCCGAATCTGATAGAAGCTTGGGATCTTCGGAAAGCTCTCGTTGCACTAATTTCGCATCACATTTTTGATCAGACGGGCTTTCGCTAGGTGTCGGGACATTAGCAATTGAAGTCTCAGCTTTCAGAGATTTCATAACTCTTTTGCTCCGAGAAATACCAGGGAAAAAACTTGATGACTTCTTTGAACGCTTCATTAAACCCGCTGTTACAGGTGAAACATCTTTTGAAGAAAATTCCTCCGAAAATGAGCTAGCTGTTGTAGGCGGCTCGTATGAGCTTCCCGCTATCTCATTCCCATCAGGAATTTCTTCTGGGTTGTTCTGAAACATATTACAAATTCAGTCAATACCAAATGATTCTTCAACCTCTGTCACAATATGTTTATCATCGGGTGGTTGTGATGAGCCTTCAATGAGCGTAAGATTTTGTTGCGAAACAGAGGTACTGGGTGTGTCATCTATGAAGACAGAACATGAGAGATCCGTTCTATCTAATGTCTGTTCGCCTTCTGGTGAAATGTGAGCTGATAAGAAAAGAACAATTAAACATGAAAAGTTAAAGAAAGTACCTTGACTAACGTTCGCTTGATTGGTATTCTTAGCATCTTTAGAGCAAGAGGGGGTTGAGGAACAAGAGGAGCTGTCGCTGTCGACGATAGTTTCTACTAACTTCGATTGAGAGTTTTCGCTGTCTTTAGGCACTTTTGGTTTCATGATATTCGAAATTTTCTTCAAAATTCCAAATTTAACAGAATGACGTTTTGAAAAAAACTACCAGTCGATCATCCATCGTAGGCTTCTCGTAGAACTTCTCTTTCAGAAACATCATGTAGTTCTCTTTACTATCGAGCACATTTTCTGGAACAGAAGAATTTTCTGTTTCCAGCTTTTTCTGGAACACATGTCACGTTAGAAGTATCAAGAGCTTATAGACCCTACAGTTAGTGCACTAACAACTCCAAGCTTCTTGTCTGCTTCAATATTCAGCTTGTGTATGAATGAGAACAAATCGTTGGCAATAGTTGGTTTAGGCTTCAAATAGAGAAAATAGAAAGAAAAATGATAAACATCACTACTGGTTCTGGTACAGGAGGCTCTGGCAGCTTATCAGGCGGACTTGGTTGCTTTCGTACAGATTTCTCAAGGTATTTCAGTTGCTGGAGTTCCTCTAGTATTCGCAACTGCTCCAGATATTCATCGTAAAAGTGGAACTCGTATACAAAGAAAGGGTCAATCAACTACAAAAGAGAAATTCACAGTTAATAGAGATTCTTCCACCTTCGCTAAGTTCGAAGTAGCTGTTTTCTCATGAATTTTCATGATCTCCCATCCAGTGCTCAGACATGTCAACTGGAATGAGGTTTCAAAATACGGAAACGGGATTAGTTGTCACCTCTGCCATAACTTCACAACCTTGGAACTTGAATGCTTCGTCTATGATGTCTTCAGAGCTCATCATATTCTTTATCATAGGATGTTGGAAGTACAACTCACCAGAGTTAACATCAACAATTGGGGTTAAGACAGTGACCAACTGGATTAATACGAGTTTTGAATGTTGTACAGTGCAAACTCAACTATGACAAGTCCAGAACGGCTGCTCTCGCGTGACGGAAGAAACCGAATATGTGTATTAGGTGGGTCCCGATCCAATTTTTCACACACGAAATGCTCAAAAGTCAAAACATGGGAACAAGGATCTTTATCATAAACATGAAATCTGTTATATGAAAGAGATTTTAAGGGTTATCGGAGAAGGAAACCTACTTGTACCACGTGCCTGTTCTCATTTCAACACTTCCTTCTATCTTAATGAACTCGGAATGCTGCATGGAGTAAACGATCCATACCTTAAGCAAGAGAATGAAATAGAATTCTATCCAACAAACGCACCATGTCAAAGTTAACTACAAGTCCTAAGAAGATGCTCATGTCAGTGTCTGGTATTTTAAAGGACACCTGAAACTAGGACGATTACACCCTGTCGTCACTCTGCTTGCAGCTGACATCAGTTGTTTTGGTCATTATTGGCTTCATCACGGCTGTTGTAAAGTTCCGCTTTTTGGGTGTTGTGGGCCTCTCATCTTTTCTAGCAAACGGTTCGCTGCTTCGTTGTTTTCTGCGATGATCGGAAGGCGGAGAGTAATCAAACGAATTTGCTGCGTGTCTGGCCAACTTAAGAGAAATGTGAACCTTACTGTGTGAGGAACGCGAACCATTTCATCTAACGTGCAAACCTTTCCTTCATATACATACTCTTTCATTCTCCAATAATATTTATCGTCTCCGAAGGATTCCGTTTTGACTTCCGCTACCCCCTATATGCTAATCGTTTCAAAACATTTGGATAGAATAAGACTACTGTGAATGAAGTGAGGTTGGCTGACACTAAACGCATAGCATCACACAGGGGGATTTGAGCCGTCAGATTGTGTCCCTTAAATTGTCTAATATTGAGCTATCGATATATCAGAGTTACTTTTGCTATATACAGATTATCTTCATCCTGGGTAGGTCTGAGGGTGAATGAGTCTCTCCACTGAAACAAAAGCGATATGGTTCGAGTTAAATGTCAGAGAGATGTACTTCTACCCTTTGCGAATAAGTCTCATTCCTATTTCCAGAATAGTGAGCGACTGGAATATTTCTGAAATCAGGATGTTTGCTGTTTCCGTAGCTCTTCGGAGCTCTGAGCTCGTACCCTCGAGAGCTGAAATCAAAGCATAGTAGTGCAGAGGACAGCAGATCAAACCTGATCCTTCGGAAACTGTCGGTAGTTCTATTTAAGATTTCTACATCATATGCTATGAGAGTACCGGGACAAAGCTGTTTGAATTAAAAGTTAGGGGAAAGATAAGGAAGACAAACATAGGTTGTTAGGGCAGGATCTACATCTCTCCAAAGTATGAATGAGAAATTAAACTGTTCACACCAAGCCACAGCGAATTTTTCGGGTAGTTCATGAGTGCTCACAACAACACCTATATAGAGGAAGTAAAGAGAAGGAGAAAATAAAGGAGTACATGCCCTGTACTGGAAAGAGCTCAGTCATTATAGTCTCAAGTGTAAAAGCTGAAAAACGTTATGAATCACAAAACATTTTTATGAAAATAAAATATGCGAATGTCTCAAACAAACAAAAACCTTAGGCAACAACGGAATTAAAACAGCTTTAACAACAATTATTATTTGTAACAATCTATGAACTCTCAAAAATACGTTGAGTTATCTAGCAGACGTATGGACTTCCGGAACAACGAACTGTCGCGCATATTCACTTGCTGTTAATTCAAGATTATCTGAGAATTTCAAATAATTCCACTAACCTCTAAGAAGACACGGAAACCATCTGCGAAGTTTGAGTCAGCCGCTTTCTGCTGTCGAGTAAGCGGGCTTAGTATTCGGTTCAGCTTTGATTCTCCACACTTCTCCAAAGAAACGACAACTCCTTTTAGAATATTGGCCATGGCCACAGTCATTGTTACGAAATCAACAACCTGAACGAACGAGATAAATGATCTTTGCCAAGATCAACTCTTTACCTTCAAAACGGTAATCGGCAGAACTTCTCCTCGTATGATATCAATCAGAAAATTCGTAAAGTTATCTCGTTTCCTATCAGTCATAGTTTGAACATCTTTCAATTTATCCCAGAGAGCATATTTCAAGGTAATCTAGAAGAAGTGGAATTCACTGCTTGTGATAAGCTTGTGATGGAATCCTCACCCCATGACGTTTATTAGCTTCGCAAAGCTTTTGAATAACAGAAGAGTAGAATGGGTTGTATGTTTTTCCCGCCTGCATCATATAGATCAAAACATTGATGATTTCTCTCTCTTTGGAACCTTAAGAGAAGAATGGTTTAAATAAAACAAACGCCTTAGATTCTACCTTTGAGTTTGAGCTGTAGCAGATTTGAAACGGCATCATCGACTGTTTCGCAAGACGCTGTAATGATTGGAATAACATTGGTCCGAAGATGAATAAAACACTCACAGACAGCACAGAAAACGTTTTTACGAACTGTTGTGTTCATTCTGGCCTTACTAGCAGCTGCAAGAATATCTTCTGAATAGGTGGGATCTCCTTTTTGTTTCTGAGCCTCTTTGGGAGCATCATCTGGCAAACGATAAGCCGAACCAACAATCCACCTGAATAGATCAAATCAGAAATCGATTCTCTCGATCGTATACCATCTTCCAGTTTCCTCGGCATGCAAGAGATCATTGATGGTCATGGCTAATGGAAGGCCAGATTCAAATTTATTTTCTGGAAAAGGAAATCCGTAAGAATAGGACCGGAACGCAAAAATCTTTACGTTTATAGAGTCCTCTGAGAAGTTTGTTCTGATTATCAAATAGATTGATATCAATGGTTGTAGGTCCAGTTTTCTTCAATTTTGCAATTTGTTCTGCTATGAACCGACCACGAGATCTTAAGAAGTCTTCTAAGAGTTTGAGGTTGAAAGCTAACATACTGTTCTGTTATAGAAGAGCTTTCATATGCACTGTGAATCTGTTCTAACTTTTGGAAGAAGGCTGCAGAGAAGGAACGCTTGGCTGTCAAATAAACATCTGAAAAACATATTTTGAATTTTCTGTTCAACCTAATCACTCACAATTTGCAAATAGTATCACATGGTGAAGTGTCTCCTCTGTTATCTCTTTACTTATATGGTTCAATATATCGAGAATGAACTCAGTCTTCAGGATCTGGAATGAAAACGATGAAACACAAAGTATCAGTAAGAGTAGATACCCTGAACGAAATCATCATTGAGATCAACACAGTTTTGTTATCCAGAGACTTGTCGTCTAAGACTTTCGGTCCTTGCATGCATTTGATATAATCGCAAACTAAAACTTCAGCCATGTGAGCCGCTGAAAACAAGTTTTAAAAACGTCAAACAACATCGTTGTTACTTATTTCTGAATTGATGGTATTGTGAATGAGGTTGATGAACATCCCGTAGGCTATTAACATGACGTCAGGAAGTCTGTATGGGGTCGAAATCATTTTCAAAAGAATGTTTGTAAGAATCTTTTTCACTTCTGAAACGAGTCATAAATAAATCAAATTTAATAATACTTTACCATTCTTCGAGCAAGTGTTCCAAACTTCAATTAGATTGAGTCTGCTCTTGAGCAACGTTGCATCAGACACCCTGGATTATGATCATTAGTACTCTGTGTTAATCAGATTTGATTCTAGTGCATACAATGCAATCCGAAAGAAAAACTAGATAGGAAAGATTCGTTGAGTTCAATAGTGAACAAGGAAAATAAATAAAAACAAACTTGTTCACAATTGACATCAAAGTCTTCTCCATCTTCTGCCGTTGCTCCAACGGCATTGAGGCTTCCAGTTCGATTAACTTCTTTTGAGCAGCTTGGGGATCGAATTTAATCAGATTTCCTTGATTGCTGCAATCAAAGTCAGGATCAATAAACAGTGCTACAGTAGCTTACTTGACTTTTCTCCCGTAGATATCTTCTTTAGCGCCTCCACTTTTCTATAAATAACCAAAGGCTCCTTATACTACATCTTGTTAATGTGTTAATACCTCATCATCATCATCGTCTTCATCATCATCATAGTCGTCGTCGTCGTCGTCTTCTTCTTCTTCATCTTCTTCTTCCATCTTTCTTTTCTTTGCAGTTTTCTTATTTGTGACTGTACTAGCTTTTTTCGTTTTCTGCTTGGATACTAAGGTTTCAACTTCTTCATCCTCCTCATCCATGTCCTCAGAACCATCAGAAAACTCTTCATCTTCGAACTCTTCTCCGTCTTCATCTTCTAAGTCAGAACCACCATCTTCTAGATCCTCATCATCTAGTTCCATGTCGGTTTCATCATCGCCCATAGCAAGAATATCATCATCATAGTTTTCATCGTCATCGTCTTCATCCTCCTCGTCTTCGTAGTCTTCCTCCTCTTCTACTTTAGCTTTCTCAACTTTCTTAGAATTCTTTGCTTTATCTTTTTCTTCTTTATTTTTCAATCCCATACCATCGAGTGCTGGAAAATAAAGACTATTGTCAAGGTTTTTGAGTTGTCCGCTCAAACCTGGAACCATGAAGTAGTCATCCAACTTTGAACGATCATTCGAATCACAGAAATTAAGAATCACTGGAAAAGGAGAAATTTGAAGTGATTTCAAGCAATGGCTTACTATCTAATCCATCGTTTTCCATTTCGTTTTTGCACGACTTATTCTTAGTTATCCCAAGAAGGCGAGAATACGTATGAATAGCTCGGTCGTCGGCTTGATCCTGCACTGAACCCATCAGACTGTTTTTTTGGATGTTCTGAAGATGGGAGACATGTTAGAAGAGTTAGATGGAGATCACAAACTTTGACATCTTCCAGGTATTGCTCGTAAGTGAGAGTCTCATCATTGTGTTTGGTGGAAGAGATTTTAGCTTTTTTCTTCGGATTCGAAGCTGCAGGAGAACCTTCGTTTGACTGAAATCACGGATGAGGAACGAAAACAAGACAACTCAACCTTACTATTATCGGCTCCTTCGTTTTTCCTTTTCTCTTTTTTCTTCTTCTTCTTCTTATTTGAATCTTTTAAAATGTTTTTCATGTAGTCTTCGACCTAGAATAAACACCAAAAGTAAGATGTGGTGTGGTTGATACGAACTTTTTGACCATGACGATGAGCGGCCATCTGTATTTTCTTTATTATCCTTTTTTGTTTTCGAGCATCCTTCCTTGATACTAGAGTTATTGGTGTCTCCATTCCAGCTTAAACAGTTGTAAGACTTTAATAATCACAATTCAAAAAAAGGAAGTGAAGATATAGATTCCAGTCAGTTATAAGACTTCGAAATAGATGCTGACGCATATTCTGTGCATGTAGCAAACTAATTTTTTTCACCAAATATTTGTTCAGTTCCAGGCTTCTTCTGTTGGCAGTCTCAATAACATGAAACCTTTATGGAAAGACAGAATCTGCCAAAGATGGCAAGAGACCATATAGCGCACTTTGAGCGAGACCGGACATCTCGTGAGGGCGTTTTGAACTAGTGAGAGAGAGAAAGAAATATCAAGACCTCTTGAAATAAACTCTCCGCGGATACTCGTAGGAGGTATTTGTAAACTAACTCTCAGTATCGCGACGGCTGATAGTATTTGTACTATCCTCGTGGGAACTGTTTCATCGCATTGCGGACATCCAGTTTGACTCGTTTCATTGTGCTCATTCCAATTACCTTGTTCCTACTAGTATTCCAAAGGAAATCAATAGAAAATTATCAAATTAGAGGAAATTGCAGGTGCTCATTGTTGCTTAGCTGCCCAATAATTAGATTCTCATCATATATATCATGTTCATTTTAGAATTACTTGGTTTTCGTGTTCAATTCGGAATAACCAGTGTTGGTCACCCTAACACCCCTTCGTCAAGTTTCAAATATTTAAGAAGCTTGCTTGAACGAAAAGAAAGTTCATTTACATAGATCAGAGGGAAGTCTTTCTGCTTTGTGTAAAAGAAATTATGAAGGCGACAATGATCAGAGATGAGAATAACAAGTGGCGACAAATTTATTACGTATGAAGTTTAAATTTCTTGAACCATGTCAACGAACGCTTAGATATAAGTTCAGTTTGTTTTCATACAATCAGTTGATCCAGAGTGTATCAGAGGTGAGAAATCTATCGACTTTTCAGTTTTTTACTTATTTTTGCTAAACTATAAATAATGCTGTTTGTGAGACCGGCTGAGAAAGCATTCTTGGCCGTTTGCGTCAAGGCAGGTCTTTTGACTATGTTCGCTATTCCTTCTTCTACAGTTGTTGTCACATCATGACGGTGAGCCAAGGAAAACAAGACCTGGAAAAAGCATGTTGACGAAACCATGCTTAAGGTGTTATACTTCTTCACAGTCCTGCTGACGACGATGTTTCTTATTCCAATCCCGTTGAATCTTCCCAAGTACCGTTGATGGCAACAGATTTAGTCTGTGATAGATAGCCGTTCCGGAAACATCTTGTAACACCTGACGGTAGTAGTTTGAGCTGTGAAAAACGATTGAAAAGCTATACTTTTCCATTTTGTAGTACTAGTCTAGCATCTTCAGCCAGCAGCGGCTCATAAACCTTTTGGAACTCTTCATAGCTTCCATCAACTATTTTTTTAATCTGTCAAACAGAATAACGATTAAGATTGATATGAAGCATCGAACTTTGTTTCTATCTTCTGCTATCATCATACGGAAATCACCAGAGTACGAAAGTTTAGTGATATTTTGGAAAAGATCGTACAATGGGAATACATCAGGAAGTAGCAGAAGGGCAGCCTGAAATGTTAAAACGCACAAATTAATATGCCGAGAGAGGAATCTTCTGAACAATCTTAAAGACGCTGTCCTTTCCAAGTTTTTCAGTTTAAAAAATGAGAAAAAAACAATATGAGCAGATGTGCACATGTATAAGAAAAATGACCTGCAATGCGCTGCGACGATTTTGTGTAACATTTTCAGCGATTTGATCGGTAGGGGTGATCACCTGAACAGCTGATCTTACAATCATGACATAAGATTATAGATACTACATCAACAACTGGCTTATGAAGACGTCCTGCCACGTACAACCATCTCCAATCTAGCAGATCTTGCTTCAGACATTCCGTTCCAATAACTCCGTACTTAATGACGCGTTTCCCAACTGAGAAAAAAAGAAAATTTAAAAAATGGACAACAACGTCTTTAGTGTAATAAAACAATAGAGAAAGAGAAGCGGAATGCAACCATGCTAACGCAAATAAATTTCAAAATGAAAACAACAAGCGAGATACCACGTGCGTCCGCCATATGCTAATCCGAAAAACCCTTACCTCGGACATTAGTGTTATAATAAACATGTGCTCCTAGTTTCGTTTGAATACCCGCCAGAATTTTTGCACCTGCAATTCTGTAAAACCAATGTTGAATAATGGAACGCATGAATAAATGAAAAAACGTTTTGTCGAGAAGGTCATAATGCCGTCATAGTAGAGCGCAACTAACCGAATGAGACTATAGTGACTGGGATTAATCTTTATATTGTCATGATGAAAGCTCAAAGGATCGTTTGTACATAGTATGAAATCAACCATTTTCTCTTCCTTTCGCTCATCTTGTTGCTGGATAGCTCCTGAGCCATATGCAAAAGCATATTCTATACTTGCCAATGGTAAACCCGAAATTAATTCTTTACAATCGTCCATTTTTCATCTAAATATATTTTTATTAGTCACTTAGAAATCTGACAACAATGTTATACGTAACGGATATGTAACACATATCAGAGCACGAGAAACACTGGGAAAACTGCACCGGAATGCTACATAACTTTTTGAAAAAGAAGAAAGATATAGAAGAGAGACAAAAAAAAAAAAGAAACAAGACTAGAACGAGTCTATACAATAATATGTATCTTTGTGTGTAAGTTTGCGTTAGGAACGCGCGGTCTGGTAAAACAAAAAGCTGTGGGGACGAGATCCGAGACTAGACAATAAGAATAAAGCTGGCAGATTGCAACCAACATGAAAGTATAAAATTATATAAGTATAGATTAACAATATTCGATTAATAACAACAAATTTTTGTCTATTACGTTGGACTGTGTTGTCGTCGTCCATTCCTCGTCTTGATGTGAACTTTAGTGTGTCGTTTTCTCTCATCGCTTCGAGCGAACTTTCTCCCACAGTAGTCACAGGTGAAGGGTTTTTCTCCTGTGTGTGTGCGCACGTGTGTGGTCAAATGGTCACTTCTCGAGAAAGCACGCAGACATATCCGGCATTGGAACGGTTTATGGCCTGTGTGTATCCTTACATGTCGTGTTAATTCATCACTCCTAGAGAAAGATCGATCACAATCACTCCGTGGACACCGATAAGGCCGTTCTGCTGGACCCGGCCGCGTTCTTCTTACTTCTGGTTCGAACTCCGTTGTAGAGCTGACCATTGGACCCGTATTATTATTCACTGAATTGAAAACTTTTTGAGAATCAGGTGGTGGAACTAGAGAGCTAGGAGGCATGTTGTTAACGGCAGTAATTGGCGAATATTTGTAGTCGTCCACAGGTTCTACTTTAGGTTGGAACATTACATCATTTTGAGAAGAAACAGGTGGATCTTCGTATTTTGACTGGTGAACTGATGAGAGGTTTGTTTGATTCTCTTCTTCCTTCTTGATTTCTGATGCTCCAACGATTTGTACAGAGTTAATGAGGTCAACAGCAGAAAGATTTTTAGGAGTCGAAACCACTGCTAACTCGGGCAAAGATACAGGCTTCAAAATGGAATTAAAAAAATGTTCCATGACAGGAGTGAATTGGAACGTGGATGCTGATAAGCCAGGAGAATTCGGATCGACCAAAGGGTTATTAGGAAAAGTAATAGGACCACGAATATGAATAGTAGGTTGAGATTCTGAACAAGCGACCGGCGCCGTTACATTGCTAGTTGAATTAGATAACCTGTGTTCTACAGGTGCCGTAGTGACTGGCGCTAATGTTATTGGCGCAGCGGATATAGGTACGGCGACTTCTGACGCTGTCGTTGGCTCAGGAGCAGTTTTCGGCATGTTGGCCAAAGAGCCATGAGTTGTTCGAAGAACAGGCAGAATTTCAACGCTACCACTGAGAAAGTTATCGTTCTCTCCAAAAAACGCCTGATTTCTAACAGGAGTGATACCGTTCAATGCACATAGTCGTCCATCTGATTCATTGTTGCTATAGCTCGATTTCATAGGAGATGTTAGCGTTGTAGGTGTTCGCAACATGTCACTCATGGTAGGTGTTTTAAGACAGTCATGATCAGATAAACTAAGCAAAGGTTTAGCAATGCCAGGTGGCTTTAAGAGCCCTGGTCCTTTCCTAATGTGCTTCGGCCCCGACACATTCGACATCGTCGGCTGAGCTGGAGAACTCTCAGTTCTCCCTGAGCCCTACTATCTGAAAGCAGAAGAATGAGAATGAGCTAGCAAGAGGGAACATTTTGAAAGAGTTAATAGAGAGAGAGAAAGACAAAATAATCATTTCGTGAAGAAAAGACACAGTCAATGAAAAAAAAAGAGAAAACCGAAGGATTAACCAGATGTCGGATGAAGTAAAAATAATATCGAATTTGACAAATTACGTCAGTCCGGAAAATTAAACGGAGAAGAGAGCCAAAATAGGGTGAGCTTTTTTAGGAATACAACATACAGAGGAATTTCCGGGTAATAGATAATGCTTGTGCAGTCGAGGAAACACACACGAAAAAAAAAAGATAAAAACGTTTTGATGAGTTAGATGGAACAATTTGGAAAACAACGTGAATCAACATGTTGAAGCGAAGACAAGAATCAGAGATTGCAGAGACATAAGACGAATGAAGCGCGAGACACATACAAAACATTTTTTTGTCAAAGTCATCACGGCTAATCAAAAGATCTGATGTGCGGAGAGCTGTTTCATAAAAGCAGATGAGGCACAACGACGTTTATACTGGAAAGAAGGAATGCCGATGTAAAGCGGCGGGAAAATCAATGAACACAGAGATGCAATTCAGTATTTCAGACCAGCAATCGCTTATGACCCGCTAGTTCCGGCGGAGCATCCATATCAAGACAGGCAAATAGCACTCTGGACCTTTTAACATGATTGAATACAGCTTAAATCGAGAAAAGTAAATAGTTGCAATCGATACCAGAGGTAGACTGCGCAACAATTGCAGACGAACATAAGCTTCTGAGCTATACAAACTTTAGCAAGAGCCATTTCAACAAAATTCAAGAGATGACTTTTGCGTTGCATAATTAACAATGGAAATGTTAATTAATGGCCGACCTTTGCCAGTTAAGTGAAAAAGAGAATTGCCTTGCAGAAACAAAGGCAACTTCATCACAGATAGCTGGCGAGCAGCTGCGAGAGGAGGCATGGTTTGTTAATGAACAGCAAGTTTAGAGAGAATGGAGAAAAATATAGAAGCATAAGCATCATGATGATGAAAAGCAAACGCTCCATAATGGAATCAGTAAGTGACGGCCTACAACGTACGGGGCATGTGAGGAAAGAGATGAGTGGGCGGCCATGGCAACACGGCCCAAGCGTCAGCATCGGAAAAACTGACGTGCGCTCAGCGGCACGGCAAACACGTCAATTCCCGATTTTGACTTCCGCGACAAAACTGAATGCGTTTTATGAATTTTAATGAGTTTTGGTTTTGAAAAATATTTTAATTAGAAAATTGTTTAGAGCTTCTATCGTTTTGTTGTAGAGAAAGAAAAAAGTATACTTCTGTCCTTAGGGTGTGATCATGTTGGCTTGATCGCCATCATCACGAGACAGAAGAAGAGAGGTTGAGTATGATTCATAGAGTGTGCAGCATGAAGAGACTGATAGGAAGCAAGAGTACATACATACGCACACGGCTGGCTGGTCGTAGACTGAGCACGAAGTGGCTTGATGAAATAACCGGCCGTGTTGCTGGCATGCAATGAGAATTGAGCGCATTTACTGCTAATGTTTAATTTCTGAATGAGGTTGTATGAAGAGTTGTGTCGGCCTCTCCTTGAAGGAAGCTACTGTTCTGTTTCTATTCTTGTTCGTGTTAATATGAGTCACGTGTATGAGATTCTTGGGTTCATTTTCCATTCCTCTTTTTGTCCTCACTGTTGGACATACACGAGGCTCATTGCATTAAATAGATTTGACCCTTAAATTTATTGGCGGTATAATTGGTTTTCCACTCAAACTTGTCCTGAACATTTTTCACTCAGAAAGATGGAAGATTACGGAGTGGTTCTTGGGGTCCGTGCTCAAGATAGCATTACTGTTTATAGCTGTAAAACGGGAGAAATCGTTGAAGGCCCGATAGCTCGGGGTAACGTTCTGGTGAATACAACTGTTCTGTGAACCTCGATTAATCGGATGTTCCAGATCGGTGACTGGGTTGAACTGAAAGCAACGGAGAAGTTTTATAAGTTAGCAGAAACTGTTTGCCCGGTGGAAGTAAATAAAGGAATCATAAGAGTTTGTTCAACGGAAAAACATCTAAACAAAGAAGAAATTTAAGGCTAGAACCTTTCTGGCGAAACCTCATGAAGCATTTTTCGATTTGCCACAGTTTGCCCATTTGAGACAGGACAGAAACCGCATAGCCATATCTGCCCATTTCGGAGTGAGTTAATTCAGTTTTAATTCAATTCTTCTCTCAAATATCATAACTCTTCCCGAATATCCTAAAACATGGCTATACATGAAACCACTTTCTCACGATTCGTTCAGATACTCCCTTTGGAAGAGGAAATGAGTGAAGGAAAGCTTTATGAATGCGCACTACTCTGGTAAGTTCACTTACTATCTGCTCTCGATCCGAAAGGTTGATATCTTAGTTCTCAAAGTTCGACTACGACCCCAGGTTGCTCACAAACTGCTCAGAGTCCTGTTTTGAACGCATTATGGAAGATTGAGACTGTGTTAGGTAGTCAAGAGGACTCAGATGCTATAGAAGCTGAAACGCGTGCATTTGTGAGTATTAAATCTGAAAGGCATAGATAAAGAAAATTACTTTTTTAGAAAAGAAAGTTCGGCATTCCGTTTTACTTCTTCACCGGAGAGGTTGGCTGTAACCGAAAAAGAGAATTGGGTCATGATAGTAATTCAGGCTGATGAGTTGACGGGACCTATTTTTGTAACTGAAGATGTTCCTAAACTTCCTGCTGATGACATAGCTCATCTTTCGTTGAAGACAATCCGAGATTGTACTGAGGTTTGCACTTTACTGAAAAAAAATGCGTCTGATGAGTATTGTTCAGGTGATGGATGTAATACAGGAGATTGATCCGGAAGCATTTGCTTACCTCAAGCAAGTGGATAAGTTCTTTCCTTTGAAATCGTAGCCAGTGAGAGGAATGAAGCAGCTTGAATAATTTTATGAAAGATTGTGTGAGTGGGCGCAAAGCAAGTATTCGTCACCTTTCGAAATGATTTGATTGCAGTAAACTATTCGACAACGATTTACTTAACGATATCATTATGATTAACAATATGTTCCTATCAAAAATTAGATAAAAAACCGGAAATAACTAGAGAAGCGAAAACAAACATGAAGAAGATATGAATTCGAAACCAAATGAAATACAACCGTAACAAACCGTGAAACAAAAAAACCTTGAATTACCTGGACCCCAAGAAATGATTTCGGCAGAGAGGACAAGTTTCTTTGCCACTTGATTGGAACCATGTGTACTGAAAAAAAATAACATAAAGAGCATAATAGTACCAATCACTTACAAGACAATTAGAATGGAACTTGTTTTTGCATTGTCTACACCTCGCCTGCAATGATCAAAAATTTGAAAAAAAAAACGTTTGGAAATAATAAACCTTTGGGAGTTGATGACTACTTGAATTAACAACCATAAGACAGATAGAGCAAGATTCGCTGCCTTCTACATCCTTATCTACATTATTCCTCCAGATCAAAATTCCGTCAATCACAGGGCCGTTCTGAAACGCAAAGCTGATATGAGCTCCGAGAACCATAATACCTGATAATGCAAGAATGACATAAGCTGCAAGAGCCATTTCTTCGATCTTTCATTTGCAACAACAGACTGCAATTAATGTCAATTAGATGGGAAGTTGAAAAACACACCAGACCTTTTCTAGTTCAACTTCGGCAAGATTCAAGGGGTAATCCGCTGGGAGCCGAATCATCAGTTTCATAACTGTATCGTCAACTGTATACTCTGCCACAACTTCTCTCGACAAGAAGATAGTTTTGATCTTCAACATAGAGTTTAAGTCTGCAAGTTCTATTTCTAATCACCTTAAGGTTGTCTTGTTTCTGGTTCATAACACGTGCTGTTTCCACAACGTGCCGTAACTCTTCGTCTATTAATCTGGCAGAGAAGGCCTCCTTGATAAATCTGAAATGAATGATAAGATTATCCAGATCCTTCTTCTCTCTTACAATGGATTTATTCTTCCTCTATCTTGATGGCTCAGGGAAGCAAACCAACCACGAATCATAGCTGGCAATGAACGGAAGACTCTGCAAAGTGAAGTGGATGACAAAAAAACTTGGTGAAGATGTACCTATACAACACATTGAAAACTATAGTTGGAACAGGAATGACACTCCTCTCATGAATTTTGTCATTGACGTACAAAACTCTCTTCATAGGTTCTAAAAGGGTCTTAGAAGTTTGCTGGAAACAAAATTCTCACCTCTAGCATCCTCCTTTTGGGTAAAGAGTATGTAGGGTTCTAAGAAAACGGAAACGAATGGACGTACTGCATCGCAGAAGGCTACTCGTTCTTCATTCACATCACCGAAGCTCTGAGAAAGCAATATATAGGTGGAAACATCCGTTTACCCACTTCTAATATTGTTAATAAGACTTCTAACGCTCCAATTGACACCAAACAAGCAGTAGTCTGGGCACGTAATAAGGTAACCAGGGCATGAGGAACATTAGACTTTCGTTTCGTTCCTACATCAGCCTAAAACTCAAGCTTGATCTTTCCTCGATTTCATTTGCAAACTTGAAGTTCTTTCCATATGGGATTTTCCTGGCGATACATTTCCACACATAACCTTAACGTAATAATGAATTGACATATGAAACACTCGATTACATTTCTAAAACATGCAATCCAGCAAAAGTCATGTACTTGTCAGAGCTTTTGGACAAAACACAATCAACAGCGACACTAATAAGATATTGCTTGGTTGGTGAGTATCTGAAAACACTGATGTATCCAATCAGATTACTTTCTAACATACCCTAGAAGTTCCAACTCAGGAATGCATTTGTAACCTTCCTTCCTCTCAATATATTCTGGGAAGACGCGAGTCTCGATGAGAGCTTTCACAAAACTTGTGCGACAGAAATAGGCCCTCTGTTCAACTGAAAAACAAAAAGAATCTATTAACTCAAATATATTTTTACATGTATTAGCGTGACCCATGAATTGGTAAATGAATGGACAAATGGTTGGCAAATGAAATTGGTTCCATTCCTAAAATATACTCCTGAACGTTAGAAACCAGTGATCAAACTAACGGCAAGCAGAGCTTTCGTTTTCATATTTGCTGTATCTAATGTCCTCAACAACATCGTAGTAGCTGTATACAGATCAAACGCCAATGAGAAAAAGCTGTTGATGGCAAATGTGTTAGGTAAGTCGTTCACAAATTGCTGTCCTAGGGACTGTAAAACGTATATTCAGTATTCGCAAGATCGTGTCCTCTCTACCGTCATAGCTGTGACAACTCCACAAAGAATGAAGTCCAATATATCCTGATCATAATCTTCAAAGCTGAAACAGATATCTACAATGATATTGATGTCCAAGGCCTTACTTCTCTGGTGTACAGGAGGAAATGCAATTTCGACCGGCAATCAAAGCACACAAGTTCAAACTCATAATCCCTTCTTCAGGTCTGAAACTTGTATGATCTTTGGACATATTCAATTCAGACATACATTACACAGAAAAGATTCTGTAAACAATCCAATTTACTCGCTTCGTGTAAAACTCTCATGAATTCTTCTGGATTATCATAGAACTCAGAGTGGTATCTGAAAAGGCTCGATGAGTGAATGATCCTTCTCAGTTCGCAACTACCTCATGACTAAACTATCTATTTCATTATCGCTGTTGTATGGAATGTGAAGAATATGTTTGATGCTCTTCGGAAGATCATTATAGTCGGAAGTTAATTTGAAATCTGAAAAAAAAAGTTTCAAAACCCGTCGGCCATTTTTTGTCTCACTTGCAGCTACTCTAGGGAAAGAATGTAAAGTTTGAAGAACTGTGAGGGAATTGACAGGAGCAAACTTGAGTAAGCTGTACAAACCACGCGCCAAAACGTTTGTCTGAAAAGTTCGCTGAACTTCTATCTGAGGAAATTGACACCTACGAAGTCAATGTTCTCAATATCACTCATGGATACATCTTCAAGATACCGATGGAACTCAGGTCTCTCCAAATGATCTTTTTTGATGTAAGATAGTGCAGGGAGAGCAATCACAACGATACAACTGAATAGATCTCTCTGCTCATTAGTTGAATCTACAAACAAGACGAGCTACACAAATATGTGAAGGAGGTCTCACTTTCGTTCAAAACAATCCGAGCTATACTGTAGAGCAGGGAAAGTGTAGTCATTTTCTTTTTCCAACTTTTCCTGTTGTTCTGTAAACACGATACAAACTAAGATAACTGGCTGAGTTAAAGATACCCCTCCCAAGTTTGAATATATTCCAGCTGACACTGACAGCAACTGTGGGTATATCTAGAAAAGCAATGATCAGTGAGGAAGTGAAACAAAGCTTACATGACAATCAAGAACTTCAATGATGCTGAGTATGAGCTGTTCCGTGCAGAGAGTTCTGTTGAATGTGTTTCCATACGATGAGAACATCTTGGTCAGTACTCTCGCATCTCTGATAACTTATTGAGAGCAATACCCTTATGAACATCTTACCCATGGTTCTGACTTTCCAAAAGGAATTTCAAAAGATACAAGTCTTTGTTTAGAATGACATCGCAATTGGCAACAGAATTGATAACGGCGTCGAGGGTTTCATCACATTCTAAAGAAAATGAGGTGAAGCTTAACTAAATCCGAGAGGACAGCTTACCGAAAACATCATTGTTGTAAGTGGATTTGAAAACATGCTCCCACAACTTGTCTCTTGTTTTCTCTGATAAGTTACAGCTGGACAAGCAATCACTCAGATATTTAAATGATCCTCTAGAGCTCTTACAGAGACGAACGAAAAGTAAATCTTTCTCAGCTACATTCAGTTTCTCAATGATGATGTCTAATTCCTCCAACTTGTTGTTTTCGAACAGTAGAAGTCCCAAACGAGACAAACAATTGTAAACATTGGGTTTACACTCTACAAAACAAGATATTCATAACCTAGTTCTCCTTAGTTTCTTACTATTCAACAGTTTTTTGCATTTTTCATACTCAGGTTGAGACAACCGACAGACCGCCACCAAAGTCCAAAGCTCGATATCTGTCAAGCTCTTCATTTTTCCGTTTTCTCCTGACATGAACTTCTGAACATTCAAGTTTGAGAAAAAGCACGAATGGAAACAAGCTTACATCTGGAAGGACAGAGTAAAGACTAGCTATCCTAGTAAGAACTTCAGAAAGAATAATAACTCCTTCGAGGTTATCTTTGCAAGTGAGACTCAAAGAATAGATCGCGTTGACAAAGGATTTTCGGTCCTGAATGCATAATTCCAAACTTCTAATGAGGATGCGAGACAAACCACAGAAATTCTCTCCAAATAACTATCTGTGCAGTTTCTCAAGCCTTTATAGTATTGAGGTGTTGCCGTTGGTAGATTCAACATAGACAAATGAACCTCTAAGAAGCTCTGTTCGCACAGATTGATGAGGTCGACAACGAAAGGCTCAGAACGAGGTAACTAAATTTCGAAGTTGATCTCAGAGAGAAGACAAAACAAACCGTGTTAATCAAGTTGTATTGCAAGTTTCTAGAGAAAGGCCCGAACTGTGGGTACACACCGAGCTCTACGACTAACCGCAGTATCTCTTCCCGTGCAGATGGATCTTCATGACTCCATTCAATAGCATTGTTAACCTTAACACACCAGAGAAGTGTTATAATGAAGCATACTAAAAGCTTACAATATCAAAAATGGAAGTGATACATTCACTGTTGGGGAATTTTTTCAAGACATAACGTGCTGATTCGCAGAACGAGATGCTCCATGGAGATATTAAGGCTGAACTCTATAATTCCACAATGAGTACGGAGTGTTAGAAGGGAAATACCTCAAAAGGCATGTTCTCAATGTAAGATTCAAGAACTTTGATTGAGAACATTTCTTTTTCTTCGTCAGAGATTAGTTTATTAATGGAGATGACAATGGGTAAGTAGTAATGGAAACAGTTGTAAGTGGCACTGAAAGAAGGAATAGCGCATATAGGGGAAAACTCTCACTTACCAAGTTTTTCGACGAATGACGAACAGAAGTTTAGGTATAACCTGCTTCCTGACATCTACTTTATCACCAAAACTGAAAAGGTTTGCATACAGATTTCATATTTAAGCTCGTTGTACTTTTCATTCTGTATCAGGCTGAGTAGAAGCTCAAAGCAGGACTTTCCCAGGAGTTCATTATCCAAGTTTGATATGACATAGTTCACTAACACACTATCAAGAACGTTCTAAACTGGTGATATGAGTTCAGTTTAGTTTGAAGTAGAACCTGTTCGAAGTCTTTGGACATTGTACACAACCGAATGAAGGAATTCTGGAGTTGAGCATTTCCTTTTAACATCGTGGAAATGTAATTATTATCTTTCAACAGCTCGTTAACACATTGTATTATATCTTGCTGAACTGATGCTTGCTCTACTAGCTTTGCTAAGAACTGGAAATGGAAACGATGTAAACAGATATGAACATGTTAACTTACTCTGGTTGATTGAACTACAAGCCTGTGGGTTCTCTGCTTCGAGTTCTCTCCCTCATCAAATCTAGAAAATTGATAAATTCTCAGTTAAGTCTGAAGAAATACTTTTGTGGAATTGCCAATGGACTTTTCTGACGAAGAAGTGAAATGCTCACATTGGCAGCATCCTTCGAGAACAACTGTGTGATCTACAAGAATAGGATTGGTGAAGTTGGTTTGGGTAACTCGAACAAGAAACCTTACCTTATCTAATTTATTAGAGAAACAGTTCTCTAACAGACTATCGGCACTGTTTCCGACATTGGTTAACGAATCACATGTTGCAAACAATACAAATGGAATTACCTGAAAGGGTAGCGTATTAGAAGAAATGAAGAAAGACAGAATGAAGAACTGAGTTCAACCGTTCCCCGGAGAATGGAAACTCAAAATGGAAATCATCAAGCGGTGATAATCGCACGAAGAAACTTTCGAAAGAACTTTGGAAACAAATAAACAATGGAAAACTAACTTTATCCAATTTCTTTTCTGCATACTTCTTCAATTCACTTATGAAAAGACTAAGAACTTTGATAGATAACGATCGTACGGATGGACTACTGTCCTGGAAGCACTTCGATGAAGTTGGAATACAGAGGAAGAACAAACCAATGATAATTTGTCAAATATTGTGGCAAAGTAGTCATACGAAGCCTTCTTCTCAGTCAAATCTTTCAGAAGGAAAACACTTGATATTTCACGAAGAGCCTGAGATTAAGCTCAAACTGTTACACCGTAGGCTATGAGACCACGTACCTTCTCTCTGGTTTGAGGGTCTTTCTTGGCCATCTTCTTGAAGATTACAATCAACTCTGGATCCAGTTCTGATCCCGGTTCAAAATCATTGGATTCTTGACTCTGAGCGGCTAAAGCTGTAAATTGAGACGAGTAATTGAATGGTAATCTTGAGGAAAGTACTTACAACCGTCAATTCCTAGAAAAGACACAGAGTGACCAGACATAGAGAGAAGCTCAGCAGCTTTTGCGCTACTCGCAGCCTTAGAAGGTAATGTTATAAAGTAAAGCTTGAAGAAGAATCAACCTTAACATTGTTCTTCCTTCGGTTTCCACTCATTGCAGGCTATTGCGCAATCACTACCCCAAGAGTGATTGTGGGAAAAATTTTAAAAATAAAATGAATATAACAGGTTTAAATAGAATCTGAGGCACTATTCTGATTAGAAATAAAAATCCATATACGATAAAATATGAAAAATCCTTATTTTAAAGTTTTAAATTGAAGCCTCGGTGGGCGGAGAATACGTAAAGACGTCATCGCGGGAATATGAAATTCTCCGTGTCCCAGGATAATTTTGCAATTCTTTCTTTTCTTTTTTCATATTTTCTTTTGTAACTCATGATAACAGGGTACCATGGTGAATGTGAAAGGAGGGAACGATTATGATGAATGGGGATGGGTTGACGGTTAGTTTACTTCATATTCGACTGTTTTTTCAAATTCAAACTATAGAATCGCCTGCCAAGAATACGGTTCCGTTGAAATCTATTGGCAATACTCCTCCCGTAAGTCCGGTTAAGAAGAATACTCCTCAAGCTGAATCGAATTCCGCTGTAAGTCATTGTCCTCCACTCACAAATCCATTGAACTGTTTGAAGAACCGCAAAAATGCCCAGGATCTGTTAACGAACTACGCTAACAACATACGAAAGCTCATCTTAACAGCTCGGAGTCAGATCGGCAGTTTGAACAAAGAAATTGAAGAACTGAAGCTTCAGTAAGAGTATCTCTCGGTTATTCTTATAGGCGTCTTGTTAAGACTCAAATCAAGCGGAGTTGTGAAATGTCCGTCCTGTTCCGAAACATTCAAAGAGCGTAATCACAGACAAATACCCAAATATATAAAGGTTTATTACTCTATTCTATATTCGTCGTTTAGTTGTTGTTTAGATATTTCGTGGAAAGTTCACTATTGAATTGGAATTTGCGAACAACGACTTGTTAGCTGAATGGCTAACATTGAATGGCTTGGACAAGATGGCTGATGGTCTTCCAACCTTATTGCCGGTGAACACCGAGGAGGACGTTACATTGGACAGCACTGGAAGCCAAATCAAAACGTTGTTCACTCAAGTATTGTTGTGTACTTTGATATGTTGACTACTCCATAATTAAAGAAAACTGAAGAGACGAAAAAGAAAAATGAAGAAGCTAGGAAGGCAAGCTTAGAATCACGGAAGGAGAATGTCAAAACTTCTAAAGTTGATAAGGTGAAACAGGAGCGTGGAAAGGATTCTATGGAAAGCCGAAGGTAACCAACAAGGCAAGAAATGTACCAAACATAGGAACTTCTTTCAGACCTGCTACTGCAACAGAGAAGAGAAAACTCTCACCAGAAAAACAGCGAGAACGACGGTATTCACCAGAGAAGGTTCGGATGAACATACTGTTCCCGTAATGTGATTTGTTCAGAAACGAATGCGAAATGAACCAACTGAACGGAATTCTAGTAGGGTTGAACAAACTCAGAGAACAGTGCGTTTCTTACTTGGAAGTCCTTTTCATAATTTTCCTTTCCTATTTAGAAAGAAAGAGAGCAACGCAGCAGTCCACCTAGGAATCGTCCCTCTATGAGAACACGTGGAAAAACAGATCAGGTATTCGAATCCATTCCAATATCCTCGAAACATCGGTTTTCAAGACTTCTGCTAATGAATCGCGAGGAAAAGATTCTTCAAGGAGTAGAGATAGCTCCAAATATCCAACGAAAGATATCAAATCTCCAAGAATTGCTTCAAATGGCAATAGAGATCACTCCTCTCCTAAAGAGACTAAACCTCTTTCTAATTGTAACAAAGATGGTACAACTTCCAGGGTATCGAATAGAGACGAAAAAGATTCCACTTCTTCTCGCCGAGAGAAAGAGAATAGTAAGAGCAGTCGAAGAGATAGTAGACACCCTGAAACCCAATCGAAAGGTGAGAAACGGCTCGATGCCCCTTGCAAAGAAGCTGATACATCTGAAACGTCTAATAAACTCAACCAAAAGCACTCGTCATCTCACATTAGAGATAATGACTCATCTCGTGCTTCTCAAAGAAAATCAGAGAGGATCAGAAGCAAAACTGATGAAAGACCTAGTTCTTCACTGAGGGCTCCATCTACTCGTTCCCGTGAGAAGCCAAAAGCTGAGCTGGAGGTCAGTTGTTCTGTTTTTCTAATACAAGTTATTTATATCTAGCACAAAGACGAAGTCAAGAAAGTATCTCCTCAAAAGCTGATGGTGAGCTCATCTGTAGATCAACCGGAAGATGGGGAAATAGTTGATAGCTGTACCGAATCGAGTGATGAAGCTGAACCGGAAAAAGCAACAGCATCTTCAACAATCGCAGATATGAAGCAGAATACGGTTCCTCATAGTCCGGAGAAGTCTGAACAAATTTCGTGCATCCCAACAACTAGTGTGGAAACTGCCAATGATCAAGAAGAACATCAGCAAAAAAAAAAGTCGAAGCAAACTATTTCGCTTACGGAGCCAAATGAGTTAGCGTTTTGTTCACTAGATGAGAACGAACCCTATCATGACTCCATTAAATGCATAGAGCAACTCCCTGAGCAGACTAGTAGCATCAATACGACTAAGCCTAGGTCCCCGTATAGTACAGTATTGATAGAGCAGTAAGTCAACAATTGTCTCCAACTCATATGAAAGTCTTATAGACCTCTCAATCAACCTTTGCTTCAAACTATGAAGTTTCCCGATTTCAAGTACAGCCATGTCGCCGAGTCTCCAGGTTTAAGAATATCCAACTTCGACAGCCCTGATTATTCTAACGGACAAACCCCAAGCGATAAGGGTAAATCAGATACAGCAGCTTGTACTCCTTCAGATTTCAACAGGTAGCTTATATCGAGACTAGAGCTTTATGATAAATTTTGTTCAGTGTACATGAACAACAAGATTCATCTTTCACTGTTGAGAACGAAGTTGGTTTCAATACCTCTGCTGAAAACACACTGGTTCCTGAAAATGATGTTAATGAGCAGCGATGCTCTAGCACTACCGATGATGAGAATGCTATTTGTGCTGAAAGAATTTCAAACCCCTCAAATATCGAGAATGATTTCCAGTTACAGAGATGCTCAAGCTCTCCCGATGTGGAAAACGATATCAATTTAGAAAGACATTCCAGCTCCTCGTATATCAAAAATGATGTCCATCCACAAAGATGCTCCTCTTCTCCTGATATTGAGAACGATACTAGTCAAGATACAAGCTCAAGATCCTCAAATATCGAAATTGTTGTTCAACAAGAGAATCAGCAGGAAGAGTTAGATAATGATAGCGGTTCTCAGAACCAAGAATATGCTGGAGATCAGAGCATCCTAGATGATGATGAAGATGGCCGAACAGAAGATGGAAAACTTAGTGATGAAAAAACTCGGTCGACTGATGATATTGTGAATCCCTCCGATGAAGACGATGATCAAAGTGATTGTGACGATGGAATGTTTGGAGTAGTTGTTTCATGTGAGGAAGATATTCTGAGCGACAACGCGGATTTCAGTTGTAACGAAGAGGAGGAAGAAGAAGACGATGGTAAGCATTGTGAAATCAACTGTTGAAAGCATAGTTTTCAGGTTGTATGTTATCGGACAACGATCTCTGTACGGACCATGAGAACGAATATGATTGAGAGTAACTCTTATAGTGCCATTCGATATTATTTTAGAAATAACACATTTTAATAAAATAGCTGTTATTGTCTGTATTATTGTTAAGCACCGTAATATGAGCAATCGCAGGATATCTTAAGATATCATAGTGACTAGACAAGAAGGTGGAAGAGTAAGGACAGAAAAGCTTCTGATATTTTCTGTTTATCACCCACATTCATATTAATAAGAATGAAAACAAATGTTCTGTGCATCGGTAGAATAATGAAAGGGAGTAGATGGAGAGTTATACTGATTATCATCCATAGTTACTGTGTTACACCGAACTCTCGAAGTACAACAAACACCGAACGCTAAGCTAAGACTTCTAGTTGTTCTACAAAAATGGATAAGTAGACACAGTTGTATGTAAATATTACAAATTAAGGGCTACGGAATAATTCCAGAACGTTAATTACATTTGTATTCGACAGATAGCTGCTCGCCACCCCAACTAGTAGCCGGCATCCTCCGATATCCGAGCGGACAATTGCAGAATACCAAAGTGGAAGAGATGGATGCTACGGCTATTCCTGAAACAACAACAGATATAGAAATTCGTTAACATTTCGACATAGAATCTCCCTCAGTCGGCACGTGCGTACCCCGAGTGCCTTTAAACTCTTAGAACATATCCCAACGGCGCAATAAAGAAACTGATAAAAGGAGAGGACACAAAAAGAAAAGGGATAACTGGCAGTTAGTTGCAGACAAAGAGAAACAAAAAAAAAAGAAAAAGAGAAACGAAAGAACAAAACAATGGAATGGCGGTGATTCATTCCTACGAAGATCTAAAATAGCATCTTTCTCTTAAACTTCGAAAATCAGCAAGTGTCACTCTCTCACACTCTACACAGATTGGCAAAACAATCAGATCAATAGGTGGAGTGAGTTGGATGAAACAACCATCCGCGTACTTTTTGATCTGATTGGAACTTATATATTACCCTCCTCAAAAAAACATGATCACTGAAGGAAGCAATTTTGCCTAAGGTGTCGATCAATCCCTACCCTCTATCAATGAAGCTACACAACAGTTGTCCAGACCGACGACAGAAAAGTCTGCAACAATAAAACCCCAATGGACATTGAAGAAGAGGAATCAACACAATATGAAGAGGTTGACTAGATCTAAGCCATCTAATGAAGCATTGAGCCATAACTATCCTACTTCCGGTGCATATATCTTTCATTATGCTTAAGACATTGCCGACAACTGTTGTGTGAATCTAGGAATGCTTAAGGACCACCCCGATGCATGTGTGCACTCAATCTTGCATTAAACGCATGAATAACAGAAAATTCAAAACATACCGCTGCTTTCTGCTGGACCAATCACCCGAATCACTCCTCGTCGGCCCTGCAAAATGAATTAAAGATAACAACAAGAGAGACTGAACGTACGGAACAAGGTAAGGCTATCTGCTTGCTCACATCTTCACAGAATGTGAGCTGAGTTGTTTCATCTAATTTCATGTTTCTCGATTCGATCGAGGAGTCGCATGTGGCATTTCCAGCACATTCGCAAAGTTCGAAACTGAAAGAAATGGGATGAGAACAAAAAACTGAGAAAATGCTCACTTATCGACATATGGTGTTTGGCTGAAATCGAAAGGCACTGTTTCAAACACTTCATCGTATAATGGGATCATTCCAGAACCATAGCCGGAGCCATCCTGCAGCACACAAACAGAACATGTTACTGAATATCGAGTGTTCAACATACCTCTTCGAAAGTCGGGAAAGTTTTGAGCTGAGCAGAGCAAGCCTGAACTCGCGTGCATGTAGCAGCCCAAATTGGAGAAATTAGGCATAAAGACCAAAAAATGTAGAGTTGCAACATGTTTATCTTCAAAAGAATAGTTAGATTGTCCCTCAATTGACAGAAATACAGTTAGACAGCGAGGAAATTCAAATTAAGGCAAGATAAGAGACTTTTTTTTGGCGCAAAGTTCAAAATGTGAACTACGGAGGAATGATGGTCAAATGCATTTCGGCATGTTTCTGTAATTCATCAATCTCACCAAAACCATGCTGCGTCTTGTCATTCAAAAAAAAAAAGAAGACGAACGGAACATTCGAATGTTCTGGCTGTGAGGAACTCGTGGGTTGCCAAACATCAGCTGGCGTCCCTATCACCTTGATAAGTTTACTAATCATTGGCAAAGAAAAATAAAGAAATCTGAAGGATATGACAGATAATCAAGATTCAAACATGGTTATAAATCAAAGAAGAGCAGATTGAGATGAAGTAATCCATTAAACTGAGAAAGAGAGAAAGTTGGATGAGCTAGAGCAGAACCAAAAACGAAACTAAACTGAAGGTGAGATGGTTATGCTAGACGATTAAAAGGCAGAGGCGGACTGTTCTGTTGAAATCAATTAGAGAAGAGTAATGGAATAGGCTTGACACCTCTAATTCACTCAGTCTTTCGATTATCCTCATTCTCCTATCAATCTAATGAAGAGAACTGAGTGCACAATGGGAATCTGAGCAAATGGCTGCGATAGGTGGTGTCTTCCAACTCCCTCCGCCTTTAATCTAATCTTATGACCCCTTCGGATATCTAGATAAATGAGAGGATTAAGAGCAACGAGAGACTAGCAGAGGTGAGAGATACCGGCAATACAAGATAAAGACATATCACAAAGTAGCAGAATGAGGATAAAACGAATAGAAAGGAAGAGAATCGGTCAGCATACGCAACCTCATTAATACCGAGATGAAAAGCACACAAGGTTGGAATTGATGGCAGAATGACAAGTAGACTCTGCTGGGTAACTTGTTTCTGTCTAAGTTCAGGATTATAGTAATCTGTTGATGAACTACTCACTTTTTGAAACCTCAATGAAACTATGAGTTAGAGATAGAAATGGAAAAGTCATCCTGCAAAGAAAGATTTGAAATCAAGGAGAGAACGAAAGCGATGAAAGAATGATTTATGAAGTCAATACTATATACACAGATTATATGGAACTAAGCTGATACCTCACCGAACAGCTCGATACAATGAATAGTTGAAGGAACACGCGACAGGATGAACTACATAATACAAGAAAAGGTTTTGAAATCGAAGAAGAGTCGTTAGTAAGGAGGAGAAGCATTACGACAATCAACTCCATGCAGAACAGGAAAATCAGTTATGATCTCAGGCATATCATCAGATATGTGTTTCATTTCCGCTGGCGGTAAAGCAGAGAAAGGAGAATAAGCATAATGTATTATCTGTAAACAAGACGAAAATGATAAAATTGATAATGAGTATAGTATAACTCACCGAATTTCGATCATATTTGACACTCATATATATATTTCCTTTTTCGTTGGTGCAGTAATCTATTTTTCCACCATTTGACATATCCGACACAACTTGAAGCATATTGGGACTATGTTTGGGATACTGATGAGAATAGGAAGTAAATCCTTGTTATACACATAAGATTCTCTATAAATGGTACCTTGGAAGATTGTCGATGTAATTGTTGGTTAACGTGAGTTCTCTCATTTCCGCTCATCAAAGAGAGTTTGTTGAATTTGCTAAGCATATCTCGAGACATAGCTACATCAGTGTGAATGTGTTGTGTGCATGTCAAGCAGCGTTCTGATCTGGGACATAGCTCATTTGCATATTGAATTATCGATTTTTAAGATTAGGTGTGTTTATTTACCATGAAATCTTTTTACACATTTGAAATGAGGAGCGAGAACATAGAATTAATATGGTTCATTATATTCCTGATTATATAAACCATGAAACTAAGATTTAAATGGTAAGATGTTGTACAAAAGAACCAATTTACATGAGACATAAGAATGTCTTAGAGGGAGAGAGAGAGAGAGAGATAGAGAGACACACAATACAATGAGATATAATTGGCAGTAAAACAGATGTATCTAACTATACACTGGGGAAAGACGGTGATTATCAGACACCTGTCCTAGAAAAGCACTATGTACAAAGTGCCTTTCGAATAGTTCGCTGAGCAAACCTGGAAAATTATAATGAGGAGGAAGAGGAGATACAATGAACAGAACAGAGAACATCAATGCGAACTACCCCATTGAATATAGAAATCTCGACCCGATTTCCCAACGCGCATCTGCAAGTACACCAAAAGAGGAGACGGCGTCAAAGAAGCAAGCACAACCAATAATAACGAACTTCACAAATAAATAAATAGATCCGATAAAGTAGAGGTTTGGGTGATGAATGAGACTACATACATAAATAAAGTGAGAATATATTAAATAGCCCACATACAAATTATGATGAAAATAACCGGATTAGAACCTTAATGAAGGGGTCGGACATGGGACCCTACCGGTGCATATCAATACCTAGCTAGTAACTAACAGTATATTAGAAATCAAAACATCAAGCAACAACTGCCATTGATCCGTTATCGGATCTGGTCTCCTTTATTTGAAGTGTACTCTTCTCGATTATGCCGTTTTTTTTGTCGCCAAAACCGTTTTCGAGACAACTTCGTTTGGAGGGTGGACTCTGTAAGATTTGAGATTAGATCGGATTAGACTGTTTGGTTCATACTTCATCTCTACTTGTTCCTCGTTTTCCACCCTTCGCCACCTGAGCAACTGGAACTACGTGAGTATCGCCGTTGATTGCTGGTTTTTCATTTCCAGAATCAGCGTTGTCGGCAGACACATCACTCACTTCCTCTTCAGGCTCAGCTTTCACAGAGACCTTTTTGCCTACAAATATATATACAGTTAAAATATTGATTTAAGTTACTTACAATCTTTTTCTTCGGTTTTAGAAGAGGAGACGGGTTTACGTGCAACATCGATCTTGCTGAGTGCTCCTTGAATTTCATAAAGAATATCAGCGAACATTCCAGCGACACGAGAATCCATCTGAATATCGAGCAAAGTAAGAACGTAAGGTTAGCATATGAACATACCAGTTGACTCATTGTGAATTGCAGCAGTTTTTGTTGATGTTTCAAATAATACTTATAAGCTTCTGGGACTTTGATGAGGTTGCGAAGGATGGTAGCAGCTCTTCTCAACATGCCCACAGAAGTACCCATGAGTTCAGGATTTTCCCTAAGAGCAGCAATTCCATGATTTTGCATGACTTGATGCATCGTCTGGTCTGCATGCTCGATGAAGCCAATCAAATGCGATATAACTTGGGTCTGATGAGCTGTGACGAAACAAATAGCTTCAGATGCATTGCACAAAGCATTTAGAATAACAATTGCGAACTCTCTGCAAAATGCTCAGTATTTATGGCAAAAGACGAGAAATCAAAACCTGTTATGAGCTTCTTCAGACAAGTTGATTAGCTTCGTTAAAACATGGGCAAATTTCTCTAGCCTTGGAAATGGACCAGTAACAGTCAGCATGTCAACATTTCTCTCGAGAACGGACATCTTACAGATGATTTCTAAGCAATAGTTCCTGGAAGAAGAGAATGTGTAATGACGTATTCGGATAACACTCTTACCTGACAGAAGTTGCAGCAGGTGGAATAGGATCAATGGCTTCCGGAACACTAGACACACTCCATCGTAATAATCCATCATAAATTGGATAGGATAATGAATCATCAACGTCAAAAAGATCCAGCTGCAACTTATCAGATTAAATTAAGTTTTGGCTTTGGGTCTTACCGTAGCACTCATATGACATAACATAACAAAGGCATCATCTCTAAGTTGTTGAGCAGTCTCTACCAATAAAAGTTCCCTATTGTCATCGTTTTCCAGAACAGCAATTGACTTCGCCCGTGAAACTTCAAATGACTCGCGTTCAGGCAGAGGGGCTTCCTAAAACACAAAAGTCATATTCGAGTACTGGGCTTCTAAGCTTACCGCTTCGGTTTTAGTTGGCTTAATCCTGCTGACTCTCACTTCTTGTGCTTTCAGTGAAAGGAAACGTCCGATCATAAACAGAACTCCGTTGTGCTTGCATAATACATTCTCATTTCCAGTGATGAAGGAGAATCCTCTGATGATATTAGAGAGAGCCAAAGCTCGCATCGCCTATACAGTAATTGTTTATAAATTTTAATAATTATTGAAACTAACCAGTCTGTAGAAGAAATCGTCCCGATCGCTCAAAGCACTATGGCGTGGCCATCTTAGTTCAAATTCAATAGGGATATCAGATAGTTCAATCTTTTTGGACCTCCGCAATAAAAGGATTTCAGGGACTTCCTAGCAAAACAGATTTAAATAAACTAAGATTATAAGTTTAGCTCACTTCATCGTCATCAGGGACTTCTTGTTTGATGCTAACGTCGTTCGGTACCACGGCATCAGTACTTTCTTTGTTTCGTGGATATAACGAGAATCTTGGGCTGGGTTCAGCTTGAGAGGCTTCCCACTCAGACCTAAGCCGAGCAGCAATTCGTTCAGCTAATCCACCGCCTAATCCAATTTTCGATCGTTCTTCTACATAGGTTGTGGTGAGAGATTCTAAAACCACAGGGTTCATAACGTATATAAAGTACTGCGACATACCGTCGACGTCTACACTTGTACTCTCCTCCAACATTATTCTTCGTTTCAAGGATTCTGGCATCTCAGTTTCTTTCACTTGGACTTTGCGACCATTACGGGTTTGCTGAAAGGAGCAAAATTAGATTTTGCAAGACAAACATGCCAATACCTTAGTATAGTTAATTTTCTTATCAGCGTTCTTTACATTGACAAGATGCTTCACATCTGTTCGTGTGGAAGAGGCAATAATAGTTTTCATATCTTCTGATAGGATTCCATCAGCGAAAACTTGTTTCCGGTTAGGTTCCGATAGCTACAAACGGCTTGATGAATTTTGGTCGAATTGAAAGTAAACATACCGGGAAAGTGTCAGGATATAACAAAGATAACGTTGCCCAAAAATGTTCAATAATCACGTTAAGAATAGATGGCATTTGAGCAAGGGTTGGATGGGGATTAGAATCGTCATACAATAAAACGTTTAATGCGTTAATAGCCCAAATAGCTTCGGTCTCAAGTCCACTTCTTAAAGCCATAACTAATCTCTTAGGTGTAGCCTGGAACAAACAACATAATGTGAACCAATTGATTACGAAAACAAACGTTAATTAGTTCTCTCGCTAATATCTTCCTTCGTCGTTTTTGGCAAATTGTTGTTGCTTCAATACTCCCTGGGGGAAATGTGTGAAGTTGTGAGGACGAAGGTGCTGGTTGCACTGGGAGACCCTATTACGATATTCATAATTATCAATCAAGTTTTCTCTTGTCTTACAGTTTGTGGATATCCTGGAGGTCCAGGTGGGCCAGGTCGATGCGATGGAGCGGGAGAAGCAGCGTGTACTGCTGGAGGAGCAGGTGCGCTTGGTGTTGCAGGATTAGGCATTGGTTGTTGAGGATGCTAAATAATGAAAGATTTCAGTACCCGACAAAACGATTTAGTGCTCTTACCCTCATTTTCTGGCCACCAGGGGAAGGAGCACTTGGCTGCGGCATTCGAGGATATCCGAAACCTCTTTGCATTGGCTGAGTATTCGACCCGGGAGGAGGCTGATTGGGATAGCGTTGTTGCCACATCTTAATAAAACAGTTAAAGCACTCTTAATCCAATAGTTACCTGTTGTTGCTGTTGCATATACTGTTGGTGATGTGGATGCGATGGATGGGCAGCAGGGTGAGAGTTATAATGTCCACCAGGATGACCTGGGTGATATGGTGGATTTCCCGGATAACCAGGGTAACCAGGCGGCACTAAATAATAAGGTTTAAATTGAATACATAATCCCTGTAATTACCTCCAGGTCTTGGAGGACCACCGCTTGGATACATTGGTGGAGGTTGTCCATAGTATTGGCCATGAGGACCTCCTGGAGGTCCACCAGGAGTTCCAGAAGCAGCTGGCTGCATCATGCTCGCAGGATTAGGTGATGGGTGAGATTGAGCAGGTTGAGGAGGAGCAGATGAAGATACAGCAGGAGCCGCTGATGAACTGGAAAAACTAAACCAAATAAAGACACTAAAACAACAAAATATTACCTAGTGGAAGGTTGAGTAGTGTGAGCAGGAGGAATAGGGGTTGCATTTCCTGATCCCCCAGAAGGTTGAGCAGCTTCAGGTTGTTCTGTCCCTTCACCACCCGCGCTCATCCTGGAAGAACTATCAGGAGTTGCCGCACTTGGTGGTGGACCAGCGCTTGGAGCTCTACTGCCGTTCTGGCTTCCAGCATTATCCGGCTAAACACTCAAATTAATACAAAAACTGAAGGAAAGACTGTACTTGAGCCGCTTGGGGAGTAGCTGGTTGCACCGATGAAGGGCCTGCATGACTACTAGGTGTTGCAGGCTGACTACATTGGGCAGGAACTTGCAAACTTTGTTGCTGCTGTTCTGCTTCAGATGATGGGGTAGATTGGGCGGGAGGAGGGGCTTGTAAGGGGGGCTGTTGAGGTAGTTGCTGTTGAGCTTGCTGAAAGAATTCATCAGTGATATTGAATATTTTTGAAAAACGTACCATAGGGGGACCCATATGTTGTTGAGGATGTGGGGCTCTCATTGGAGTCACACCAGGAGGCATTCTTTGATAAGGAGCACCGGGATAGTGTCCTGGTGGTGGGGCTCCAGGATAACCTGGAGGGGGCCCATAACCAGGCTGATGATAATAAGGATGAGATTCCATTCCAGGGTGACCAGGAGGAGGTGGGTAAGCGCCGGGTTGCGGCATACTTCCCTGAGGTGGGCCTCCTGGGTGAGGTTGAGCATTTGGTGGGGGGCCAGCTTGACCGGGCTGTCCGCCTGAAAAGAAGAATTGAGCATATGAAACAGCAACTTTATGTGTGTTGTATTCTTTTTTTTTTGACGGAACGGTACCATAATTTCTCCAGTCTGTAGCTGAAGGTATAAAACCCCTAGATAACAGGTATGCTTCTCTTTGCGCGTAATGATGTTGTAGCATATTTGTTTGATATGATTGGCCTATGTTAGAATACCCAGAGGGGTTATAATTTTGCACGTTGGGCGGCAAATTATAAGGATTGGGGATATAGCTAGTATTCGAGTATGGTTGATGATACCACATAGGAGGTGGTGGGCCAGTGGCGGCCGTAGTGCTATTGCCACTATTTGGCTGCTGAGTGGATTGAGCATACGGAGACACGGAGCCAGCAGCAGAGCTGCCAGCATTTTCGTTAGCACCTGATTGCGAAATGTTGAAAAAGCCTAAAATGGTTGTGCTTATGATAATTACGTGCAAGAATAACAAAGCAAGATGAGCACTAGGCAAAATGAAAAATTATTGCCGAAAATAGATATCAAAAGTGAATAAAATTATCATATACTGAATAATATTGGCAAGATTTAGATAGAGCCTGCCGCAGAGATAGAGAGCGAGGGCCTCTGGTTCATAACCGTGGAGACGCAGGGAAATGAAGCTGTGATTAGAGAACCCAGCAACCAAAGCTAATCAGGAGAGGTTTTCAATAGCAGCCGGATCGAGCACATCGGAAACACCTAATATGCAGCTGCCATGAATGTCAGAGTATAATCTTCAACAAATCTGATTCGCAAAGCCATTCGATAACTTGTAACAAATCCAAAAAGGTATAGAATAGCAAAAACTTCACACATTTGCATGTGTGGCATATGGATTGTCTATCAGTTAGGAGAATCTCGCGCTTAACTTTTTCGATCCAAATACCAAATAAGGAATATCCTTATTTAGCAATGGAACACGTAAACAAGACTATATAGAGGGTATTGATCGCAACTCATAGATTCCACTTTCATACAGCAATAGAATTATTGTAATAATAAGAAAGACTGAGCATTGAGCTGCTTCTAGGCAAATCGCACAGACATATGACGTGATTAAGACTAAAGAAGCATGATTGCCCAGCTTCTATTTCGGTATATAATAACGGTGGGCAGAAGCAGCTTACGTTGCCATAGAAACTGTGATCAGTCACGTTGTCCACATATGCATACAACTCATTAGACAACGCCTTGGGACTTGCCAGTTCCTCGCATCTCATTCCACCAAGATTTTTCTATTCTCCCAACCGTTTCAAATCTACTCACCTCCGAAGGTAGGTGTTTGAGAAGCAGCAGCAGGTTCTTTCCTTCTTTGCCTTTTTAATTTGTCCGCGAATGCTACAGCTTCATCAGCATTCTTTCCCGTTTCTACACATTCCAACAAGAGCAGATATTTTTGATAATGTTTCCTTAATTGATAGCCAGCAGCTGATGATTCAGAAATCTCAGGATTTGCTTCAGCACAAACATTTTTCCAAGCTTTTTCTTTTGTAACCTAAATAGAACATATAAGAGCTCTTCAAGACGAAGTTCGCTTACTTGTTCGAATCCTCCTCGATTTCTAACGGCAATATATAAACGATGAAGATCTACATTTTGCTTGGACACCTGAGGCACCATTGTGATAGGTTCACAGTGCTGTTCGCAAAAAGCTACTAATCTTTCAAAGAACGCACGTCGTTCAGGCATAACTCTTGGCGGGTTAGCCGCAGTTGCTGGACCAACCTATCATGGAAACATAAGTAACTATTGCTATCTAATCTCTACTCACCAATTTATCTACAATACTGTCCTTTCTTTGCATAACTGCCGGTGACATTACTGGTGGCTGCATCATTCCTGGATGCATGTTTGGATGTTGTGGAGGCATACCAGGATGACCAGGTGGCATCATACCTTGATGCATCCCACCCGGCATTGGCTGTGGTGGTCCGGATGGAGGACCTTGCATCGGCCTTTGCTGCTGTGATTGCTTCAATTCAGAAGGTAAACCAAAACAGCTGTTGATACCTGTGAGTGATTTTGCCATGACGGTGATTCCATTCTTGATTTCTCGTCCATACTTTCGTCTGCTATGGAAGATGGAGCGGGACTGGGAGCAGGCATATTTGATGCAGGTGTAGAAGCATTAGTAGGAGTTTCCTGAAAAGATACTACTACTTATGCCTTCATCATAAAGAAACTAACCATCATTTTCTTTTGTTGTGCTGACCAGTCCATAGGACTGGGTCCTGGTGGCATTCTTACAAAATCATTTTGTTGTGGTGGGCCTCCAGGTCTCATCATTTGTGGAGGGTATGTGCTATAACCTTGTGGAGGAGGTGCATGATATCCTGAGGGATACCCAGGATACCCCGGATGCACACCAGGTCGTTGTACCATGTAAGGATGTGGAGGATATCCCTGAGGCGGCTGATATCCTTGTGGCGGAGGTTGTGGAGGCATGCCTTGTGTTTGTTGGGATACGTCACCACCTGAACCAAGCATATTATCCAGAGTAGTCTTGCAAACGAGTTCACCTGCTTGTGACGGCGATCGAGGTTGCTGCCATTCCTGATTCTGAACCCCAGCAACTTGTGGATGTACTTTTGGCGTTGATCCATTGTGCATACCATCCTATAAAAGGTAATTATGAAGTTCAAACTATTAGATTGAGATAAAATGTGAAGAAGAGCCAATTTTTCTTTGCGGAATGCTGACCGCCAGCGCGATTTCTAAGCACATCTCGTTCTACAACATTTCTGAGAGGCCAACAAACATAAAATAACCGAACACGCATCACGTCATTTTGGAAAAAATTCATCTCTTTCCGCTCATTTTCCCACGGTCGCACTTCTCGTACAAACAATCTTTATCCAACAACACATTTTGCATAATTCTGCCCAAACTATTTCTGCGAAAGCCTGCAAAACTCTACGCGAAGCTGATCTAACAACGCAGCTCGGACAGCTTATGCTAACGGAAAGAAGTTCATGTTTGTTACAATCCAACAAGCATCATCTGACAATCCTTATTAGTAATTTGATTTTGAAATTCTCCTTATAACTTCTTCCTTTTTGTTACAAGTAATTTTACTGATTGAGTTGATGCGTTTAGACCATGTTTCCGCGTAATTCTTTCGCCTCTCAGCCTATTATCATAAATCAGCATCCACTGTTTTGAATGGCACGTAAGAAAGGCGATATAGACACATCTTGTCACCAGTGCATTTATTCGGTCCCCCTGCCATGCTCTCTTACTTCAAGGCGCTCTCTTCCCCACTGTCGCGTCCGTTTCCCTTTCTTCCTCTTGCCTCTTTCAATCGCATACGGGTCAGACCCAGATGCGCAGATACACAGAGAGACAATGGAACAGAGAAATCAGCCAAGCCACACAAATAGCGTCAGGGACACAGAGAAAAGAGTTATTTGCATTCGCTCGCCAGGCCTTGCTACGATCGATTGGAAAAGCAGTTATGTGGCGCTCCAGCATGTGTCCTCTGAAGTGGACACACTATTTCGCCGTTATGTCTCCACTCTCTTCAAAATAACGTCTTCTGTCTTTACTGTACTCAAGCAAAATGTTCACAAAAAGGACAGCTCAAGTGAGACAGTTGGAAATAAACTTCTGGAACAGAAGGTTCAGCAGTCATTGTCTAATTAGGTGATTTTTGAATCCTAAACAAATATGCCTAAAAAAAGACAACGGAAAGTTCAATAGATTGAAATGAAGTCCGTTCTGATGCATGATGAGCCGAACATGAAAACACAACAAGATGTAAATCTATCCATTGTTGTCTATCACGTCTATTATCACATAATGCGCAAACTATCTCTAGTTGTCGAGAGTGAATCAATGACGTCATAAACGACACTTTCTCGTGGGAAAATATCATAGAACAGACAATACCACCCGGTAGCTATTCAGAAACCCACGTGAATATCACATATCACAGCAAATATAATAAAGTTCTTCTTTTTCTGGACGCACTGGGGAAGCCTCTGAACGCCCCAGAGAAAACAGTGCCATGAAGATATTAATGACGAAGAAAAGGGTTTGCAGAGAAGCGTGTAAAGCCGGAAGAATGTGCAAGTATAAATGGGATGTTCTTCTGAGAGGATAGATATTAGAGCTAAAGATAATCCACCCGATTCGCGTGACAAAATATCCCACGTGTTGTCTGTTGTGATGTGAATTTGTCATCGAGGGAACTCCCCTATCCCTTGGGCAGATTAAAGATCGATGTTTGTTTGCGGTTGCGAAAAGAACACGTGGGATGAGCAAAAAGGTGGGTCTATTATCATCTGTAAATGATACCATTTTGATCAAGGAAAACCTTGTTGAGTGCATGCTTGTTGGCACGCCGTTCAAGATCGAGAGCCGACGCGCGTTTAACTGTAACATCTGAAGAGTCTTCCCATATTTAGCTCAAGAGAGTGAAAGAGAACAGAAACTTGTAGGATAATAGATTTAGGTACTATAGACGCGCTTATTCGAGATACATGAACACCACCGCGCTTCATCACAAGATCAAAAAAAATGAAAAAAGAAAGAAAGAAAGAAGCTGAGCTCAACTCACCTGACTAGGATGTGAAGGGGAAGCAATATCTCCACCACTAGCTGGTTTGCTGCTAAGAAGAGTATTTAACGTTGGAGTTGTACCAGCCTAAAGAATTTGACATCTCCTACATACATTTGAACAGTTTTTGATGAATATTTAGAGTGATTTGAGTGATAAACATGAAATTTTGAAAGAAAACGTACATTTGTGTTGTCTTGGTGTCCGCCTTCGTTCGCAGACATTTTTCAACAAGGAAATTCACGATAAGTCAGCTATTAACATGCAGATAACGCAGCTAAAACACACAAATTAAAAAGAGAGTTCAAAAAAAAAGAGAAAACGATGTAAAGCACGATTAAGAGTATCAATTGAAATACAAAATACGAATAAAAACAAGTAACTTAAGTAATATATATATATATATAAATTAACGCTAATGCAGATAAAGGACATAGAGTGAGATTTGAATATAACGCACGCCCCCCCCCCGCGATGCAAACCTCGACCCGTAAGAATTTATTGCGTACTGCGTGCGCAAAAAAATATGTTATAATAGTAATCAAAAATTTACTTTTTATTCGTTGTTTCTTTTGAAATTTGATAGTTTAGAGATTGCTATTCCTAATATTCTGAAGCTTTGCGCGTTTGGTTTTACTCTTGTTAAAAGATAACATATTTGAAAGAAAGCAAGTGTGGTTATAAATCCTAATTACTTCCACACATCTATATCCATGCTAAACCAGGCAGCAACACAACAATAATGTCATGTATTGTTAGATTGAGCATTCGTGGGATATTTAAAAGCGTGGGAGTCGTTTTTCTGTTCGAATAATCGGCGGCGTCGGGCGAGGGCCGTTCGACCGCTTATTAATGAATAGACTTGAGCGTAAAGAGAGAGATAGGTCGTCTACGCAATATCAGCCAGGAAAAAAAAAACATATAAAGTAATCGAAGAAGACTTGTATATAGAGAAGAGGAAGGCCGAGAAGGGGAGAGCGGTGGTTCGTTGGTGGCGGCCTCAGTGGGAGCGCGAGCCAGCCCCTCCCCCTATCGATTGGTGCCTGGCGACCCCGATCGGCCGCTATTTTGCCCTCAAGCGCCCTATAGGGCATAAGCATTTTTTTCAATTTCTTCCACTTGTTGCCCTCTTTCTCATTGGTCACTATCTTCAATAACAGATTTGTAGTTTGCTCGCATCTCATTACTAGCGTCGCGACGCAACTCCGACCGCGTCGCGTTGATACACAACTAGGCGTCATGTGCGCGCTCCTATCTGGAATCCACTCCGTCATCGGCCCTCCGCGCGATTCACAAACAAAAGGACTCGATGGCCTCACTCCATCTGTTTTCCGTCTGCGTCTAACTTTTTAAGCACTCTTTTGACAATTCTCTCGCTAATACATTCTGTCCCTCTCGAATTTCTATAATCTTTCGCTCTTCTCTAGCAGAAGAAAGGGAGGCAATAAATTTGAAGTCACTATTCTTTTTCTTCTGCGTCTTGACTAAGTTTTCTTTGATAACGCTACTCTCTCGAAGCAGCAAGCAAAAAGAGATGAATCTTCGGAAACTTATGAAATATTAAGGAAAATTATAAGTAGCTATTTGTTATATGAAAGTAGATAATGTTCTTCCTTTCGAGGTTCGAGATCATCATGTTTAGACTTTCAGATGTCGTTCCTCAATGATCTGCCCAGTTGGAATCCGGAGAACTTCTCCAAACTAAGTGGTCAGAAGGCGGTAAGTTCCTCCATATGAGGAGTAAAGCTTGAACTGCACAAATTGCAGAACAGTGTTTCCAAAGTCGTGCATGATGTTCCTGTCAGACAAAATGAAGTTTCCATTTCGAACGAGAAAAAAAGTTTCATTTTACGCTACTTAGAGAAGCATTTCGTAACGGATGTGGTAAGACTGTCATGCAATATTTTTTAATCAATTTGAATCCAGAATTTGGAAGAGAAGAAATCTAGAAAACGCTCAGACGATTGCTCTGACGATCCATCAGAGAAGAAAGTTAGGAAGCGTTAGCCTTTGGGCCGAAAAATCTTTAATACGGGTCGAGTTGATAATGCCCTATATCATGACTTCTCACAGGCTTCGAACTCTTGAGTCGAGCTTGATTGTTATCATTCTATTCGCTACGCTCACTCACTGACACTATCTCTTCAACTCTCTCAAATTGAGCTTTCATCTTTTGTATAAATTAAATGTCTGCAAGCCATTGCCATACTCTTATCGTACGTACGAATAAAAAATTAAACGTATGAAACTTATTATTTATCAGAGACGTACAAGTCACGCTGATAGGCTGGCTGTCCGTAAACACTGATGATATCTATACTAAGGACATCATATTGTTTAATGAGATGTTTATACAAAGAATATGACGCCTATCACATAACAAGACTTAGTCAACTCTCTAATGCCATAAATCATATCAACAAGATAATTACGCAAAACCGACAATTTTTTAAAGAAAATGTGAAGGAGTTTGATTAACGACGTTGCATTAAATAAATCAAAGAGTCAACCGTTCCTGCGGGCAAGAAATACAAAATGAGTCGGAGCATCACGACATGAACGCAACAAAATGTAATTATGCTAATTAACCTGTAGGCTGAGCCAGAGAGGATGCAGCATTCAGATTTCTTGTGATTGAGTTCTCCTCATTAGTCATGTTGTATTTTCACACAAACAAGCATGAGGAACTAGGAAGACAAAAGAATACTGATTTCTCAATAGTAGCCGAGCAATATTATGAGAAGTCTTGATAGTTATAAGCATTATGAGAATGAGTAATAGAGATGTACATGAATTATGAAAATGTAAGAGAAAGAAAGGTAACTGTTTGCATACGTTCTCATAAACTTATCCTAAACGCATCTCTGAAGAAGCTCAGTTTCTCACAATATTTCTCTAACAGCTTATTACCGTATGCTTAATATGAGAATTATCTTCATACGCAAAATTTGAAATTCACGTACGTCTTTGTAATGCAACGAAGAACACTAATGATAAATATGTGAAAAAAAATATTGATTAATGAACAGAGAATTCATTATAGTCGAGGGTTAAGTTCTAATTATGAATTAGTAATATCTAATTTTAGAATTCAATACTTTGCAATGACAAAGAACCGAAGAATGGCATTGCGTATGTTTTGATGAACCTCTATTTTCAATCAAGCGCCATGACGTCACAAATTAACTTTTTCCTATTTAATTTGCATTTTCCGTCCCAATCTTCCAAATAAGACAACTTTCATGAAGCATGCGCATGCTGCTCATTCGATAGACGTATACGAAAACTCACCTCGTTCCTAAACATCGCCTAGCCTACTGTTTTTTGTTTTCTTTTGTACTTTCCAGAAAAATTTTCACTCATGTTAAAACATTTTCAGTGATCAAACGGAATGGGCGACATGGAGAAGGCCGCAAGGCCTTCTGGTTCTCCGAATGTTACTGGTTTGTCTCCTACCGAAGGTATGAGTTTTCTTCATTCGACGCCCAGAAAATGATTATCCTCTTTCAGGAACTCCAGGAACACAGATAACCATCCGTGGTGAAAATCTAGGTGTCGATCAAAATGATTTGCTTATGCTTTTCATATGTGGAACAGATTGTCTGCACACTGCCAAGTAATAGTTATTTTGAGGGGCAGCATTTATTTTTTCCTCAGATGGAAATCTCCTTCCAAGATTGTAGCTCGTTTGGGACATGCAACGAGAGGATTAGGAGATATTAAAATTATCACAAAATCAGGTGGTAGAGGAACTTCACTTGTCAAATTCAGGTATTGTAAATTTGCACTTAAGTACAACATTTCTTGATAGAGTTTTCATTGCTCAAGTTGGACCCTTAGAGGAGAGTGCAGTTTGGGTAGATGAGACTAGGACTGTACCTGGAAGAGAAGTATTGAAACATTATCTTTCTTGGTCAATTTCTGTTGCATAGGCTATCCGAGTAATTGCAAAAGCTGATGAAGAAGTAGATATTTTGGGTTTAAAACCATCCAAGAAGTTTGACCAAGCCACTTTGCAAAAATGGTTTCCTGAAGGCTCCGGAAATATCCGCATGGAGCTGTTTAGTCCAGAGTGGTATTTGTTAGAGAATCATGCCGATGCGACGTAAGTTATCTGAGATTGGATGTTCAAAATTTTGATTAACAGGGTGGACGAGTTGCGAAAAGCAATTCAAGTTCTTGAGAAGATGCAGGATAGTGATACTAAGAAAAGCGAGGAACTTCATAAGGTAATTGAATCTTTTCCGAAGTAGAAAATTCTCGAATGTAAGGCCAACTTGTACGCTCTGATCAATTGTGTAGACACTCTAGCTTCTCTGCATGATGTTCTTGAAGAAAATAACAAAAATCGAGATTTCGATGTGATTCAACGCCTAGCGGTCAAGGTGAATCTTCTTCTCTCTAATCTCTTATCACCACTTTTTTCGTGTGTAGATTTCCGAAGCCAAAAACAGCGCGGAGAAAGTTTTCAAAGATGTTCTGAGTCGTAAAGATCAAGCTGATGTTACTAGGAACACATTGTCTGTGCTCACCCGGTTCAAATTCATATTCTTCCTTCCCAAGTCAATAACTGAGAATATGAAGAAGGTATTTTCTAAGGTGATACGGGACGTTGAAGTTCAAACATTATTAAGGGCGAGTACGTTACAATTCTGAATGATTATACTAGGGCTAAAGCTCTTTATAAGGACACAGAAGTGCCATTGTTCAAAGAAGGTTACTTGTGGCATCATTTTGTATAGTTTTCATGTTCGAGTTCAGTGATGGAACACCTGGATAGTAAGATGGAAGTATTCAAAGACGAAATGAAAAGGAAGCTTATTGATACTCCAGCGTCGTTTGAAGAGCAAAGCAAGCTGATCAAATATTTGAAGGTTTGGTTAAAGCTTTTGTCTTTAACCAATTTTGGTTTGAAGATTCTGGAACCGAATTCCGATCCAACGTGGGAATGCATCACAGCTTATCATTGTTATTTGGAAGATATTTTATGGAAGTTACAAGAGGAACATTATCAGAAAGGTAAAGCGTTTCAAACAACGTTGCTAATTGTCCTATTTCCAGCGTTGGCATCTAATGCCACTTCCAATGATTTGAGGGGACTTGTTGGAGCTGAAGTCAACGAGAGGTATCAGTTTGTATCAAACTTGGTGAAAGTTCTGCTGGATAAACTCCAGTCCTTCTGGAAACTCTCTAACTCCTATAACACTAATGATGAGCGATGGGCTCAGCGTCAAGAAGACATTAACGTGAGTATTGTCTGAGCATTCTAGAAGTATTTGTTTTCTTCAGCAAATGCTTATCAATACCATTAACGTGTCGTCCTGGCTGATTCTGAACGCTCTGGTCGCAAACGCTCTTCCTGATGATGTCCTTAAGAAGTAAGTTCATACTCCCAAGTTCAATTTCATGATTTACTTTGAGGTATCAAACACAGTTTGTTCCTTGGCCGCAAATTTCTCCGCCATTGCATCGTTCAGTACTCTTAGCTAGTTTGAAAACAGTGAGGTTGCCAAAATCTTTTGGATCACGAAAAACTAAATCATTTTCCAGGTCATTCATTTCATCCTTATTAGACAGTCACTTTACCGTGGCGCACATCCAACCTCTCGTGGAGTTGTGCATGACTATCCGATTGAAGTCCGTCTCAGTCATAATCGACAAAGGCGTCGAAAGTGAATTGAGATTACATCTGTCTTTTTCAAATTATTTTTCTTCAGATGTTATTCTACTGCAAAAGAAAGAGGATTGGAAACAGGAGTTAGTCGAGCAATCAGTTTCTAAAACTTCTCTCCCCGACTTCCTAGAGAATGAGGTAACTTGTTGTACTTCAGTACTCTTCAAAAAAGTCTTCTTCTCAGATTTGTGATTGTTTATCGATGGTTAAAGATGTTCTGATGACCACAGGGTTTTTCGGGGAGAGTTGTTTGTTTTCCCGAGAAAGGTTTAGATCAACTCTGTTAGACCTGTTTGTCCATCTTGTCATTTCTGTCAGAATTTGCTTCGACAGGTAAGGCTTACAATCTCTAATTGAAACTGACGTTCTGTCCTTGTAAGGCTTTTGAACACGAAAAATAGCCACGTTGATTTAACTGATGATAAGGAAAGCAAAGCTAATCAGGTATCTAGATGAAATCTTACTGTTTCATAATTCTACCGAACTCAGGGTTTGACCAAGAAGTTCTTAATCGCAGCTTGCAACGTGGATTACATTATCGACAAAACTATGAAGACGGTTGTTCGACGGATGAATGAATGTGGTGTTAAGATGGTTGCTGAGATAGAAAAAGTATGTCGTTTGCACGAGCCATATTGGTCACTATTCAATTTTCCCAGAAATGCTGTGACAAACTGAACGCGTACAGAGTCTTCCTTATGGATTGCTATATAAAAATCAAATGTAGCGCATACAACGTCTTGATCGAATCGGCTGATTATACCTTGTTACCCGATGAAAGTCCTCAATCGCCAAACCAACCAAACTCTAAGGTTCATTTCTTTCAGATGTCTCCAACTATGCTAAGGAAATTGTAATGTGCTGTGTTCTGCAACAAGCCGAACTGAATTTGTATGCACCGCATCTCTCTTTCTCATGTTTACAAGTTTGATTTTCGCGGATTTCGTAGCCAATTCTAATCTATGCTCAGATGACAATTAAAACAGTTTTTGATGTTTTGGTCAACCACTTCTCCACCATGGGACATTTCCCAGAAGCCAGTGCCACACAGTGCGTGATTGACTTGTGTGCTCTAGAAGAAGCTCTCTCGTCATACACCACCTTGGAAACGAGGTACGAAATGAGTTGTTTTCATCAGATTTTCTAAGCGCTCCATGCGTCGTTGAGTATTGAATAGAAATTTTGTTTTTGCAACTGATACCATTTCAGAGCTCACCTCAACTCATTCAGAGCACAGTTAGTGGGGAAAGTTGACCAATCGTACGTTTTCCAACTAGATCCATTACATCTTTGTTATTCTTACAGCAAAGTGACACCATGTCTGACCAAATTACGACATTCGATGTTGATGGCGCTCGATTGTCTTTCTTTGAGTGACGATGAGGACGATCTCAATACTTCTAATGTCTAATAGCTCTACCAAATAATTAATATTCAGCTTTGTACATTTCACATACATAATTAATTTATTGAATATACAAAGTCTAATTGTGATATTTCTACGAGTAATATATTTTTATTTGAAATGTGCTGGTCTTTTATCATTCGAAGAGGTTCTACACCTTTCTCATCTCTGACTCTCTGTCTCATTCACTCTCAATGCTTGTTATATTCGCTTATCTTTTCTGTTTTTAGTATGACATCATCAATATGGGTTAATTCTACAGTTGTTTTTTTAATAGTCTGCTATGCTTTGATATATCTTCTTGGAAATAGATGGGTGAGTTAGATGAAAGAAACCAAATCCTCACATTTCACTTCCATTTGCAGGCTACAGCTGTAACTAGTTATCATGTTGGAAATCGTAGACGAATACTGTCAGTTTTTAAACTTGAAATTATCATGACTTTATTTAATATCTTCGTATATCATCAATTAATGCAATATTTCGAAGTCGATAATTACCAGGGTAAATGGGATAGGAGGAAGTTGGCGGTACGTTGCTCATTCCTTTAATCAATCCTCAACCTGTGCATGTTTTGCAGAAAGTAAAATCGCGGGCGAGCGTTGGGCTGTTCATATTCTTTTTTCTCTCACAACTTGTATATTTAATGTATTATGCTTCTGCGGAGATGCAGGTGAACATGAAAGTTAGTTATCTTCACTAAATCAGTATTTCCAGTGGCTCATGTTTGGTGTCACTACATTGGCTTCAGGCATTTGGACCAACCTATTAGCCTTCGTTTGTGGCTTCTTCATCATCAATATGTTTGTCCGATTATGCCAAGTAAGATTTGCAACATGAGGTGTCTGTCTCTCATGTGTGTTCTGTTTCAGAAGTACGAAGCAACGACCAAGCTTTTAAACTATTTCATTAACATCAAATATGCGGGGGTTCTTCTATTAAATAGAAAAGTGCAAATCCAATTTACGGTTGTTATAACTTTAATATTATCTTTCTTTATGTGGATCTCATGTGACAAAGTTGTCGTCAAATATCAAACCATTACTGTTGATGTGAGTTCAGCTTCTCATCATCTTCCACTCACTCGTTTCTTTTCAGAATTTTTCCAGTGATCGTCAGGTTTTGCGTTTTGCAGTAATCTCCGATCTACACGTGGGCGCCAGTGTTCACGAACAGCAAGTTCAGAAGGTTTCTGAAATGCTGCTTGATATGAATATTGATGCCGTCTTGGTTGTTGGTGACATGGTAGATGGTCCTCGTTCTCTATTAGAGTCAAGGTTGAAGCCATTCTGGTAAATTGAATACTAGAGGCAGGTGTATGGATATAAAAAACAATTCAGGAGCGTTGCTCGTCGTTTCCCAACCTTTTTTGTGACTGGAAACCATGAATACTATTATGGCGATGTTAGGGAGTGGCTTCATCTCTATGAAGAGAATGGGGTGAAGGTTCTTCAGAATCAGTAAGATATGCATATGGGCTTCCCTAATTCATTTTTTTCCTTTTACAGACATACTATTATCCATGGCGTTTGTCTAGTGGGAATTAATGACATATCCAGCGGTAAGATGGGGTGAGTAATAGTCCTTTTTTGGCAATCGATAGTTATTTTCTTTCAGTATCGTCAAACATTCTATGGAGCCGGCTACTGCTATCCAAAGCTGTCCCAAGAACATGACCACTATCCTGATGGCTCACAATCCGGCTTCAGTTAAAGATATAAGTGAAGAAGATCTCAAAAATGTCGATCTGATACTGTCTGGTAGCTCACTCTATCTTTCTGTTCTTGTGCAATACCGTGACCTACTTTAGGACACACCCACGCTGGACAGTTCTATGTAGTAGTGCCATTGGTTTGGATGTCGCTTCCTTACTATTATGGCTTATACCAACTCAGTCATGGACAACTCATGGTTTCGGCGGGAACGTTGTATCAGGTGAGTCTACGGAATTCCTTTTTTAAAATATTTTTTCCATTTCAGGGACCTAATATGAAGATGTTGGGGATGTCTGAAATATGGCGCGTGAGTTTACAAAAAACGGCTCCTACCATGTGATATGCTGGTCAAACTAACTAACGGGGAAACTAATAACTAATCAAAATAAATATTTATTTCATCTCTCTTTTCCTTTTATTCTGATATGGTCAACATGCCTTATCTATACCTAATGTTGCTTATGATTTGTTTCATGCTTATCATGATGTTTAGAATGGGGGGCTTCATTGAAAACTTTCTCCGTTGGGAACACAGTTTGGGAGGACTTTACAATTACGAAAGGATTGGCTTCCAAGGGAAAGAGAAGTTGTCGAAGCCAAAGATGATTTGTGATCCTTCTGTATAGATACAACAGTTTCTTGATTCTATTTCCTTCTTCTTACAGGCCAGGAGCTCTGACGATTTGCTCTCTTTCGAAATGGTATGCTCGGTGAAATGCTACCCAGACCCAACAGTGAAGTGGTTTCGTGGTGAGGAAGAGAAGGAATCGGAATGTCTTCCTCAAAACTCAGGTTAAATTTGGTTTTGCCCTATTTAAGTTACCTATGTTTTGAAGATAAGTACTTCTGCTCCGTTGTACCTGGAGAAGCAGATGATACGTTCGATTGTATTCTGAAAGTCAAATATCCAACAAAGCATGATTCTTCTTTCTTCGTCTGCAGAGTAAGTAACGTTTGATGCATTCTTTTCTTTCATTCAAATATAAATGATCAAGAATAGTATTGAGCATTGATGGTACTCTCTAAAGGCTATAAAATTTCTAGATTAATAACTCTGCAGGGAATTTGAAGCATACCTTCCGTGTACATTTGGGTTCTGAGTTCGATGATTTCCGCTTGACTGCAGCTCCGTGTATCGATTATTTCAAAGACGAACAGTGAGTAGAGATCTCCTTTTTTATTTTCTTATTCATCCAACAGTAAATGTGAGATGCACCTGTGCTGTGCTGGTATAAACCGCGATGCCGAAATCAAATGGGAAAAACAAAATGGCATCGGAGAGTTCACCCAGATACTTGGAGAAAGTCCTAAATATAGTAAACCGTCTTTATCTTCTATCCCATTCGACCTCTCATTTATAGCTTTCATCTGTGAGAACAATCCTTTCTCTGAAACCCGGTTTTCAAGAATCTCATTGACCATACTGGATCTCGAACCTGCAGACTGTGGAATCTACATGTAGCTTGTCTTTCTCATGTTTTTTTTATTCTTCCTTTTATAGATGCACTATTACTCGATACGACAAATCGTTTACTATTCTATTTCCTCTATCTAGTAGACATGACTACGGAACTAAAATTCCTCGAGTGATCTCAACTCCCACGGTTTATCGATTTGTTAGTCCATGTTTCTATTCTGCCAATGTTCAACTCGATATGCTTCTAGGAAGGAGAAATATTTGTCTTGGTTTTCTTCATTCAGTCACCTAAACGTCCATCTGTTCGTTGGGAACTACCTAGTGGAGTCATGTTCGACGGAACTGTTATTGAAAGATCGCAGACTGCCCCCATTCCTGATGCACAGTCAACAGAGGCTACAGGACAAGGATTGGTTGACAAGATTTATGAAATTCGTTTGAATCTGGACTCACTTGGAACAACTAAAAAACAAGTAGCGGATAAGCCGCCATCAAGACAATTATACACTGGTAACTATTCTTGTACAGTTCGCAACACGTACGGAACAATTCATGTACCAATGGAGTTGAAGGCTATATGAATCGTTAAGCCACCCATTACTAACCTTTTGTACTTTCGCAGCTTAGTTATACTTACTCTGAATTGACATTCTGTTGCATCTCAACGCACTCACTATCTTCTATCATTGAGTATTAATATCGATCTCCTTAATAAATACTTTTCCACTGTTTTTCAATATCTCAACAACGAGTTCTTTCTCAGTTCTACCTTCCATGATATACGTTCACCCAATTTATTTCTCATCTTCTAAGTTCTAGGGTTCAAAATGTCCATTCTAGCAGGGCCTAAATATAAACAACGCATTTCTGTCGATCCCCGGAATTTAACGTGGAAAAATGAAGAAGACGTATTTACTGATGATTAGTATTGTTTGAATCGTGTTCCTTTCAGAGTGTTTCCAAGAAACTTATGCGGAAGATGGGGTGGAATTCCGGTGATGGTCTAGGTAAGAACCGACAAGGAAGTTCCGAGCATCTCAAACCGAAAGCAAACTATTCTGGAAAAGGTTTGTTCAATCGAATCTTAACAATGAAATTGGATGAATTCAGGCTTGGGCGCTGACAAAGTAGCTTCGTATGATAGTACGTGGATTGGACATCACGATGATTTTGCTGATTTACTCAGTGCTCTTAATAAGAATAAAGAAAGCATTTCCAAGAACACGGAAGCCTCTGAGGATAAGGATCTGGAAAAGATGTCTATGGAACTGAAAAGCAAAAGCATCAGAAGACGTATCCAGTAAGTGAATTCAAATGGAATGTCATTCATTTGTTTCACAGTTATCAGAAGTTCACCAGAGCCAAGGATAGTTCTAACTACTCTGCGAACGATAAATCTGCCATTCTGGGATTAGGACTGAAAAGAACTAAAGAAGATGAAGTAGTTGTCAAAAGAGTAGGTTCATTTCTATTTTAGGCTTCTCACCGACTTTTCAGGAAATAGAGGAAGAATTCACCACTGACACACAACATACTGTTAGTACGATATCAATGACTGATTACTTCGCTACCAAGATGGCCGCTTTAAAAAAGAAAAGCAAGAAAGTTAAAGATGAACCTGTTGATGATTGTATTTGATTGAAATAAAGACATCCCACGTATTTGATTTTACAGATTCAGAATACGAAGCCGAGAGGAGCCAAAGCACGATGGTTAAGGAAGAACCTGAAGACGAGGGTATAAGCTTGAGATAGAGACTTCCCACCCATTTGATTTTACAGGTTCAGAATACGATGCCGAGAAGAGCCAAAGCACGATGGTTAAGGAAGAACCTGAAGACGAGGGTATAAGCTTGAAATAGAGACTTCCCACCCATTTGATTTTACAGAGTCAGACTCGGAAAGCAAAAAAAAGAAGAAGAGCAAAAAAAGAGAGAGGGAAAGAGAAAGGAGAACTAGAGAAGAATCTGTGGAAGAGGGTATAAGTTTGATAATCAGACTTCTCACGCATTTGATTTAGCAGAGTTAGACTCTGAAAGCAAAAAGAGCAAACGAAGAAAGGCTAGAGAAGAACCTGTGGAAGAGGGTATAAGTTTGATAATCAGACTTCTAACGCATTTGATTTAGCAGAGTCAGACTCGGAAAGCAAAAAAAAGACGAAGAGCAAAAAAAAAAAGAAGAGCAAAGAGGAACCTGAGGACGAGGTATGACCTCGACAATAAGACTTCTTACACATTTGATTTAACAGGATCTGTAACCGCCTACAAGTGGCTTCGGTTTCAGTGTGGTTAAGTGGTATTTTATACCTTTGTTGTGTTTTTGTTATAATACAACACTATGTTGAAATAAAAGTTTATTCAGAATATATATTCGTTAACTTCCAACAATATTCAACCTTAGTTGGACCTTCCTTTGCGTTCTTCATCAAATACAGCTCTTTAGGCTTTAGTAAATCCTAGAGTCTAGATCTAGGTGAAGCGTGACTTGGCGTCTGGAGTTCGAGTCATAGTCGTAGTCGTCGGTCGAACCCTCAAAATTTAGGGGTTTTTATACGACCCGAATAAATTTCCTTCTGTAAGTCTAAGAAATCGAAGAGCAAAAGCAAGAAGATTAAGGAAGAACCTGTAGACGAGGGTATAAGCTTGAAATAGAGACTTCCCACCCATTTGATTTTACAGGTTCAGAACTCGAAAGCAAGGAGAGCAAAAGCAAGAAGATTAAGGAAGAACCTGTAGACAAGGGTATAAGCTCGAAATAGAGACTTCCCACCCGTTTAACTAAGCAGAGTTAGAGTCCGAAAGCAAGAAGAGCAAACGGAGAAAGGCTAGAGAAGCACCTGTGGAAGAGGGTATAAGTCTGATAACCAGACTTCTCACGCATTTGATTTAGCAGAGTCAGACTCGGAAAGAAAAAAAAAAGACAGACCAAAAAAAATTTGAATTTTGAAGAATAAGAAATATTGTTTTGATGCTAACCTGCCTCAGAGTACTTCTGATCTCTTCACACTTGCAAGTGTTCCTCCTGCTTCATCCGATGCTCTCCTTTCGCTTGTTGCTCCACCCGTGCAATCGCTCTCAACCAGTATGGTCTTCTTGTGGTTCAAACCACGCCATCCTCCTCTGTTAACACTCGAACGATTTCGCCATGCACATGTCTCATTTGTATATTCGAGTTGATTTAGGAAACAATTGGTTAGGATTAAGATAAAGATAGGAAATCAGAGTTTCTTATTAATCTTCTTTATTCTTCGTATGTTCACATCTCTATATGTTCTTGTATTGAAAAGACCTATGGCTCATAACCCGAAAGGTGAAATCACATAGTATTACAGTTGCGAATTGCTTAAATAGAATATGGGTTTAGATATCATTGCAGGATCCTCGTCCGGGGTAGGAGGTAATACACGTCGGACGCGACTTAATCTAGCCACGTCTTGAGCTCTTAAATACTTATTCTCGATGGAGTTTGAATAAAGGGGGGTTGCAATAATAACTGGAGGAGTTTTCTCAGGTGTTACATATGACAGCTCTGATTCTCGAGAAGTTGAGGCTTCGATAGAAACAGGAGGACTGGTTGAAACAACCTGTACTTCTGATTCTACTGTGGGTAAAGGAAAACTAGGCTGTTCTTTGGCAACTATTGGTTTATCTCTACGTGATCGATTGTTGGCATTACGAACAATCTGACCGAAACGAACACGAATTGCTGTGTTCCACATGGAATCCACATGCCAGTACCAATGCCATGATACGTACAGCTACATTGAACTATAGTTGAGCGACAATAATCTATGACTCACAAGGAAGAAGTTTCCCGTAGTTCCAGCTATATAGACGACAATAGCTATCAAAGGTGCTGACATAGGCTCTATGATTAATGGGAGGATTCGCGGCAGTGCAGCAAGAAATAAGATGAGTAAGCCTATGCCATAAACAGATTGCTGAAACGAATAGAATAAACTGAAGGTTATGACCTTTTCAGATCAGATATTTGAAATGTGTTTGCAGTCATAAAACGCCCTTTATCTTAAAGTTCTGACAAGATTTCTGCTCACCGACGAAAGGGAAAAGACGGGGTGTACTGAAGGGAAACAACTTGACTCCCTTGGGTGTGAAACGAAACTTGACCCCTGTCGCTTAAAAAGATACTTGGGAACATGCCAAGTGGTAAATGGCTGGAATGATTTTCATTTGATGCATAAATAGACAGCTAGAATCATGGGCAGTAGAAAAGAACCAAAAAATTAATGAGCAAAAAAAACGAGGAAAAACAGAATGAAAGCAGACAATCTATGTTTGTCCGCATAATTCAACAAGGCTAGATCTCAGTTTTTTTCGTAATTTCCTCGGTTTTGCTCGAGGAAGAGCCGTTGGCCATGCATCTAGCTTTCATGCCTTTTTTCCAACAAGGACGGCAAGCTTCACGTAAATTTGATTTAGCCATTGGGGATAAGTTAATTAATGGAAGAGTACAATTATTTCTCTGACGAACACTGTTGCTATAGTTGAACTGTGAATGCTTCTCAAGCAACAGCATCGGGTTGGAAGCAGGTGATTGTATGTGACGGATGTATTTTCGAAATAAATAAATGAAATACCTGCACTAGCAATGGCCATAAGCAGTATGGACGAGGTCGTGATGCAAATGCAAATGGTAAGCTAAACAAGAGTGAAAGACAATGTGATATACACCATAAAAGACGGCCGAGTCCTCCATCCAAATATTCAGCAACACATCCACGTATCCCCCATAATGAGTGAAGAAGGCCTACGTCGAATATAACAGCATCTGCAGCTTCAAGTGGTAATGTACCCGAGACAAAATCACATTTCAAAATCTGAAACAAGCTTTTTGAGGATGTCCATTTCAATTGTTGAACAGATGGATCAAAGAACAAGATGAGCTTGTGAGTAGAATGATCACGGCTTATTCGATATTTTTTGAACGAAATAGGTGAATTGGTGAGAGGAGGAAAGACTTCGTAACCATTTGATTCAGGCTTAATACGATTACAATGGATTCCAAATGCAAACCTTATTATGATGCGTGTAAGAGTGACCATGTTGCGCTACTCCCCATAAGCAGACTACTACCTGACAGCATCCAATCCATAAGCATATTTGGGAATTTAAGAAACGATAGCGAATGCATTGGGTTGATTCATCTCTGACAGAAATCAACCCCATGTAGTTTTAACTATGTGACCTGAAAGTAATATAGTATAAACTAGAATCATTGTTCAAAATGAGCTACAACTTTAAGACACCAACTCAACAAGACATATAGGGATGAAGATGTCGTGGCAATGACCGAGACTTCTTTCTTTTCTCCCTTTTTTGTTTTAAAACAAAAAGAGTTTCTCTCGTTGTCAGTCTGTTTTCATTCGTCGTCCTAGATAGCTCCTCCCGAAGTCAGCCTGCACTGGCTCATAGCCGACCCTACAACTCTCTACTTTCTCTTCGAACCACTGTTTCTTTTCATTCTCTTTTTTCGGCGGCCAGCCGATCTCTACAGAGCTCATAGCATTCCTCCAACCGCCTTCTGCTTCCCTCAAGGGACGCTGTTGCTTTCACAAAATTTATCATATCAAAGAAATCGAAGTCGTTGCAAAGCTATTACCGCATATGATTACAACCACTTCATTAAGAAGATATCATTCTTCCGATAACATGGATGTCAAAACCTTTTGATGAAACTCTAAGTTCATTGACGTCTAATGTTATGCAAACCCAATACTTGTCTGTCATTAATTCGCCCCAGGCAATTCCTTAAAATTTTTTTTTTTCGAGTTTTCTCTTGTAGCCAATTGAGTTCACATTCATTTCCTATTATTGAAAGAAACTTGCGCCGTACATAATCGGGTTTTCGTGGGGAGCACACCTGGGATTGCCAAGAGGTCTCGGGGCTAAGTACCAATCTCTCAGACGGGAGTAGGAAAGCACCGAACATAAAAGTTTGAAACGAAATGAAAAAAAACAAATTTATCACAATTTTTCGTTTTTCACGCGTTTTACTGAGGATACAATTACAAATCGAATATAAGAATAACAAAAAGAAAATGAAACCTTGAGCTCATTGAGCTTCTCCTTTAAGCTGACCAGTATATGAAACATCCGATTGTATTGTAATTACGCTGTCTAACCAGTACGCTCTCTTTCATCCACTTGTTAACTCTTACTTACTAATTCTAATTCTACTCAATTGCTACTGGTTGATCGTACGACGCTTGATTGTACAGACACCGTTTGTCCTTTCGGCTTTGTTATCCGTTTTATAAGCTCCACAGGAAGAACTGAAACATCGGATAAACTTGTTGGAACTGGAGTTCTTACTTGTTGAACAGATCTTGCTCAAACGTTCTTTGTAGGCAGGGATGAGTCTTATCATTAGGATACAAGCTATGTTGACGTTAATCACCAACAGTATAATTAGTATGTCCGATGCAGCTGTACTACTTTGGAATTATGAATGAATGAAGAAACTAACTTCTGGAAGGAACAGCGTTCACAATACAAAACACGATAGCAAAGGGAGGCACAATCATACCCATCATTTGGAAGAATACCTAGAGTGAGCTAAACCTTCAACTGGTTGAGGGCACTAACCAATTTCAAAACATCCAATGTCAGTTTGTGTTGACTTCCCAGAGCTTTACTTGAAGATGATCGTGTTCTGTTCATTCTCAAAGTCCAGATGAGATATACAGTTGATACTCCCCCAGTTATTGAATAGAAGCTCACGGAACATATGGTATACCATGCGAGAGAGACTGCATCAGAACCACCCTCTTCTATGCTAACCACCAGAGTTTCTGACATGAACAGCTCAGGTGGAGGCTTGTTGTTGAACATCTGCAAGTTGTAACACTCGAAATGGTATGGAGGGAAGGCTAACCTTACTACAAGGGAGTCTATTATCCTTATGGGTTTCGAATCTGCGTATGATCATTATACCAACAAGTATAGTGATAGCAGAGAGAAAAAGATAAATGAAAGTAATTTGCTTTTTTCGTCGTTCAGTCATGTAAACGCAGACAGCAACAGCTCTCAACATGCAGATAAGCGCAACAAACGAACCGGCCGCTGAAACACATATGAGGTACGTATTGCATCTAGAAAACAAAAGCAATTCCTTGCAAAAATAAAGAACTGTATAAAAATTTGTCGGAATGTGCTCATTCCAGTATAATTCATAAGTCCATTGGTATGGACGACGCAGCAGGGTAGTAGAACGGAGGGGACGGTACCAAGAGAGAAGTAGATTTGTAAAAGGGAGGATCTTTGAAAAAGGGGATTTCTACAATGAAATCTTTAGTTGTCTTACGTCAAGAAGTTTCCTATTAGAGCAGCCCGGAACATAGCACTCATCTTGGTAGGAACGACGATGAATATATACATTGAGAGTATCAAAGTGAGTATACCAAACAAGGAGAGGATCTTCATGGTCGTTATGTAGATTTCCATAGTCAAATTTTGAGAGTTTCTAGAAGCTCTGCCAATCGAAAAGCGTAATAACAGTAACACACATAAACACGAAAGATATAAACCGGCAGAATATACAAATCCTGCTTCTACTAGTATAGTTTGTCTGTATATAGCTTACTAACTGTAGCATACTAACTACAAACAGAAAGAGATTGAAGATTATCATATTTCTCCTGATTTGCTTGGTTTTGAACGTTCTAGGAGAACAGACCAAATCAAATAGTATAATTACACACATGCACACCAAAACTTTGAATTGAAAAATTGACCCTGGTGCACCTTTTTGACCAAATGTCCATTTCTTCAATTTTCCATCATTTCAATGCTGCCTTCTCCCTTCTGCCCTTTTGCAAAAATTTCACAAAAATGGAGAGAGTAAAATTGAAAAAAGCATAAAAATGGAGGCCTCACACTAGCAGTTCCTCTTCACATTCAGTCAGAGAGGAACTCTAAAGGTATAATGACCAGGAGTCAAACCAAGGCCCCCCCCCCCCCCCCCCCAGCCTAATCCCTTATCACTCGGATATGATGACTCTGGAGAAATGACCGATTTTGACCCATATCAAGGAAAGACAAGAAGATAGATCAGTAAGGCATGAGCGAGTGAAAGAGGTCAAAAGTCACTCTCTCTCACAGTCAGGCTGTCTCTCGCTTTCATCTGTGCCTCTGCCAGGCCACGTCGGGTGGATAGCTGAAAAGTCTTCTATGTCAGATGGAGGCACCCATAGCGCAGTCGGTAAGCGCGGAGGCTAAGGCCAAATGAGCAATCCCCATTTCGTAGGGTGTCGAATAGTTTTGCATTTTTGTTTTCCTAACTATTTATGTTTTCACAATCGCACAAAGCTAATAAAAGGAAAATAAAAGAGTTATCGACATTTTACAAGAGTTTTGAAGTTTTTTGAGCAGAGCTCGTGAAGGTGTTGAAAATCAAGCATTTCCGTGGTGTTTTCATGAGAGAGACACATTTCCAAATAAGATAATTGAGAAAGAAGTAAGGATTTCAGATTTGGACTCTTCAAAAAATAAAGAAACTGATTGGGTTTGTTATCCCACGGCAATGAAGAAGATTTATTACTTTGGCTCTTTCGGACTAGATCCACCTATAGAACTACAAGAGTAATTGAAAGGGTGCACTTCTGGACTCAGCCCAACTGAGGAGAATGACGCAAAAGATAAAAGCATGGAGCTCTCCACATTCCAAGTACAATAATTCGGTACTTTTCTTTACGGTTATTATTTCATATGAATTCTGTCAACCGAGTTGACGAAGTCAAAACCTACAAAGGATCTACGGCGGATGTACAGCTGTATCCAAAATGTACGGCACTCTTTAGAACAATGAATAAGCTTCTTACTAACTAGGTTGTATTATACTTTGATACCTCTCATGATCAATCCTCTTCCTATGTCAGACTTCTAGCCTCCACGTATATGATATTTTCCAACATAAGCCGACAGGTAACCAGCCATTTTCGATGTTACGTCACCAATACTAACTTGCAGCTGTTCCAGCGAAACTTTGAGGAATTCTTAATCGGCTAAAGCGCCAGACGCTCAATTCATATCTGCTAGTTGTGGTACTCCGACACTTGAGCGGCTTTAGCTTGACTGACGAGATTAAAGCCCTCAGGGAAGCTTAATGACACAGGTACTTGTTTTTACGGGATCTTCTCTTGATGTTCGAGTACCCTACAGATACTTCCTTATGGCACATTTGCGACTACTGATCAAAATTTTTATCATGGAAAGTAATTATGGATTATCATGGAAATATATCAAGTATAGGGTTGCTACGCGGGGCTTATTCCTAATTAGCGAGGACATGGTTTTCTCGACCCGAGGAGCGGTGATTACCGCACACCTCTGGGCCAATTTTATAGTGCACCCTACTTGTATTCTTCTTCACAATATAAAAGTTATATTAAGCAAGTAACTTTAAAAGAAAACCAAAAGACGAAGATAGAAGTTGGAGGCTCCGCCCCAAAGACTAGCGTCGTTGACAACAACACCGGTATACCGATATAGTCGGCAAATACCACCAGCAAAGACGTCAAGGACGTCAGTCACCAAGTTGTTATCAACCTAAGCTTTAACTTTTCCGCTAAAATGGAAAATGTCTGAGCACCTGGCTTTAACTCTAGTAAGAGGAATTGTCATTCTGACTCTCTCATATGGACGATATAAATAGATAATTGACAGCTTGTAACTTAGTTTTAATCATATGTTTCTTCCAATGCCTCTCTGTGTTCATCATATCAAGACGGAACCTTGCATGAGCAGTGTGCCTTTTCTAATTGCATAACGAAACCGTACTCAACGTGATTATCGCTCACCCATCTACATATATCTCTATCACTCATAGTCTTTCCTAGTTCAGGATCGGATGTATTCTCTTTCTCAGACTTTTTGAATTGGTGAGTTGCCTTTTCTTAAATGAACTACTCTCACTTCTTTTGCCTTACAAACTTCACTGCACATTGCGGATGGAAAGAAATTTCTATGGATGCTCTCGTCCTGATTCAAATATTCAAAATCGAAAACTGTGAAATATCTATTCGGACAAATGATTTTCTCGATTTGCAGCTTATTACTAATATTGGTTATTCAGATAAAAAACGTGGGCTTGGCTATCTGCTTTTCTGTAAAAGCTTCTCGAAAGCAGGAAGTTAGCTTTCAGACAAGGAAATGAAGGCTGTCAGCACATGTTTAGAAGACGAAAACGGCTTACCAAATCATTTGCTCTTAGTTGTGTTGAACAACGTTTCATCGTTCCTCAGTTTTGTCTTATTCATATTCTCTATTGGTGTCTTCTGTAGGGCACCTGCCTCGAAGGAGTCAGTACTATACAAAACCATTATTTACACTCAATTTGTAAGTCTTCGGAACTTTGTTTCACTTTGGCAATCGAGTTTTCAAATCAAATGATCATTCCTCAACAAAATGATATTTCGGACAACTAGCATTTATGAAGTCTAGCCAAAGGGATAGCCCTCCATCGTTTTCGTGATATCTTCCAGAACCTATACTTAACGGCCTCCACTTTCGTTACCACGCAATCATAATCACTAGTTCTCAATCAGAATGCGCTTTCATCTGTGCTTATTATCTCTTTTCACTCTGCAGTCTATTCTGTTTCAAATTCAATTTTTCATTTTAGGTAATTGTTTTCGTATTCTCATTTGCCTGGTCTTTTCTTGCCAAGTTATATATCGAATTTGAATACAGCTTGATATACTCAGAAGGATATCTCCCATTTCTGCAAATAAATTCTGGACAGTTCTTTACGTTCTTTGTTTTCATATTTGGAAACTACTGCACAATCCTCATGGTATCTTATACATACCGTTTATACCTAGTAGCTCATAAGAACCACGTCCTGAGAGTGCGTAGACTCTCCTACAGCACAACAACTGACGATTCATGTTTCAGAGGAAGAAAGTTCTCTCTGCTTGTTTTGCTTTGATTTGCATCAACAACGGAATTGTCGGCCCTGTTCTCTCTACATTCATGTACGGCAAAGATGACAACCTGCATGAACATCCGAAAAATGTTTTTAAAACTTATCACAAACCAACTTTGCCGAATTGTAGATAAGTGAAGCTGAAATACAATTTTATATGAACCGAGAAGTCGTCTACTTGCATAATAGGCCTATCACTCGTACTTTCGTGGGTTACATGTCCTACTCAATCGTTCTTGTCATATCAGTGATTAGCTAATCTCTGTAGATTCATCGTCCCATTGTCTTTTCCAGATAATTTTCTATTCCTCATATGCGATTGTTCGAGAAATCAAGAAGCAGGAGGCATCAGCTTCGTGTACATATATCAAACATCACAGGAGAGTCTTGAAGACGTTACTCATTCAGGTAAACAGAAAAGCAAAAAACACAACCATTTCTTCTTGCAGACGTGTTCTACCCATTCTGTACTGTTTTTAGCATCAATTGTGGAAGCTATTCATATGTTTATTAGCATTAGCGCATGTCAGTTCAAACTCCTGCTCTCCATGTCTACAGTATCCTTTTAAGGTTTTGTGGAGTTTACGTATGTCGTCTTGGGTCTCAATTTTATCGTTCACTCAGCCATCATGTTATTGTTCAACCGTTGTTATAGGAATACGATTTTCGGAAAAATTTTGAAACGTCCACAGATGATTGTTCATCATACATGAGCATCTGAGCTCTCCAAACACAATAGATAATGAATGATTGGAAAACCTATCCATTTCTTGTTACCATTTTACGGAATTCGAAAAGCTTCTCAATAAGACATAGAATGTTTCTTACAGAAAACACATGAATCCTTCTTCTCACTGACTCATGATAGGGCATCCCTCCTAACCACCACCCATTCACCCAACTCAGATTTGCCACAAAATCGTCACGCGGGTTCACGAAAACGTTCAGCAGTATCGCTT